AGGGGTGGGCAAAGCCCCAGGGACCACTCAGCCCACTCCACCCCATTGAGTCAGGTGGGAACATGACGGGGACCTGGCCAGCCCACCTGCTCTCTGGAGGGTCCCGTGAGCCCCACAGCTCCAGGTCTCACTGCCCCCAATACACCAGGTTCAACCATACGAAACTGTCCACAGTTCACACCAGTGGAGATTTCATCTGGTCCAACCTCACGGCACAATCACCAGGCCTAGCCAGCGGCAAACCCGTGTCCCCTTAGGATTTCCAGCTCCCATCGAGGACAGTGCCCAAATCTCAGAGGGAAACGGGGTCTGATGATGTGTCCTCTCCTCACTGCTGCACCGTCCCCTCCAGGCCTGGAGGGAACACCTCTGAGAAGCCCAAGCAGGGGCTGTTGGGACTATTTCATAGCCGCTGTCCCAGAGGGCATCCTTGGGGTCCTAGACCAGGCATCCACACTGCACGAGCTGTCCCACGGAACGGGTTGGGGTGAGGAGGCCAGATTGGCGGAGGCAGGCAGGGGGAAGCCAGGTGGGGGGAGGCAGTCCGGAAGAGTCTGGTGGAAGGGGAGGCAGAGAGAGAGAGGGAGAGAGGGGAGAGGGAGGGGACAGGGAGGGAAGAGAGGCAGGGAGGAAGAGAAGGGGAGAGGAAGGGAGAAAAGAGAGAGGAGCAGGGGAGAAGCGGGGAAGACAGGGAAGGGGGGAAGAGAGGGAAGGAGGTAGGGGGAAGGGGAGGGCAAGAGGAGGGGGGAAGGAGACGGGAGATGAGGGGGGAAGGGAGGAGGAGGAGGAGAGGGAGGTAGAGAGGAGGGGGTTGGTGGCAGCTGCTGTCACCATCTCATTTGAAGCATGTCAATACCGTAACATCGGGTGTCCTCAACCTGCATGTCCTGGCTGAATCACAGCCCGGGGAAGAAGTCGCAGGTGTGCAGGGGAAGCCAGCAGGGGAAAGAAACGAAGCTGGAATGTGAGCTAGGGCCGGAGTCTCATTTATCCCCTCCCTTGGCCCGGGACTTGGAAGTCTTGGAGGAAGAGGCTGTTCTGCCTGGACCACTCATCCTACCTGCATCACTCAGCGTGCTGATACCGTGCGGCAGTCCACCTGCAAGCTGGCCCCAGGAGCAAGCTCCATCCAGAGCCAGGCTGGCCGCGTGGGCACGGATGCTGGCCTGCACCCTCAGGTTCCTCCTCTGGGCGTGCAGCCGGCCCTTCAGCTGGAGCTCTGCGGGCAAGGCCTGGCTGCTGTTCTGGGTGAGGACACAGGTCACGCTGTGCACGCTGGTGCCGTTCCCTGCCTTCTCATGCTTGTCCCGCAGGAGGAAACCCAGCACAGCTGAGTCAGCAGTGACTCTCAGGGTGCCTGCAGAGGATGGGAGAGAAGAACAGAGCAGGGGGCAGCTCAGGGAACTGAGCTGCTTTAAAATAATTTGGGGGTAGGAAGATGCTAGATTCATGACGTCACACTTGTAACTCATGTCAGAAATGTCACATCTGTGGGCTGGGTGCGGTGGCTCACGCCTGTAATCCCAGCACATTGGGAGGCCAAGGTGGGTGGATCATGAGGTAAAGAAAATGAGACCATCCTGACCAACACGGTGAAACCCCATCTCTACTAAAATACAAAAATTAGCTGGGCGTGGTGGGGCGCACCTGTAGTCCCAGCTACTTGGGAGGCTGAGGCAGGAGAATCGCTTGAACCCAGGAGGTAGAGGTTGCAATGAGATGAGATCGTGCTAGACTGGGTGAGAGAGCAATACTCCCTCTCAAAAAAAAAAAGGAAAAGAAATGGCACATTTGTGAAATCCATCAAATTATGGCAGAGTTCCCGCACAGGATACTCTGAAAATCAAGCAAGCTAATTTACAAAGTAATACAGAAAATCTGAATAGCTCTATATTTATATGTTCTCCAAAAACATCCCACAGACAACCTCCAGATGTCTTCACTAGTAGAGTCTATCAGACATTTAGCGAACATCACCATCAATCTCATACAAACTCTTTCAGAAAAGAAAAAAGAACAGAATAATCAACTTGGTTTATCAAATCAGCCTCAACCTCATACCAAACCTGACAAGAGCTTTTCAAAAAAGGAAAATTACAACCCAATAGTGCTGTGAACACAGATACCAATTTTTTTTTTGAGATAGAGTCCCACTCTGTTGCCAGGCTGGAGTGCAGTGGCGCGATCTCAGCTCACTGCAATATTGGCCTCCCAGGTTCAAGCGATTCTCTTGCCTCAGCCTCCTGAGTAGCTGGGACTCCGGGCACACACCACCACGCCCAGCTAATTTTCATATTTCTAGTAGAGATGAAGTTTCACCATGTCGGCCAGGATGGTCTCAATCTCCTGACCTCAAGATCTGCCTGCCTCAGCCTCCCAAAGTGCTAGGATTACAGGTGTGAGCCACGGCGCCCAGCCCACAGATACCAACTCTCTTAACAAAGTATTAGGAAACCAAATTCAATTAAATGCAGAAAGAAAAATACTTATGAAAAAATGGAGGGAATCCCACTAAAGCAAGGTTGGTTTCACACTGAAGACCAATTTAATTCACTCTATTAACAAAATGAAAGTGGAAAACCATATGAAAATGTACTAGATTCAGAAAAGGCCTCTGACTACATTCAACACCCATTCTTAAGAACTAATAAAAACTAGCCAGGCACGGTGGCTCGTGCCTATAATCCCAGCACTTAAGGGGGCTGAAGCAGGCAGATCACTTGAGGCCAGGAGTTCGAGACCAGCCTGGCCAACGTGGTGAAATTCTGTCTCTAGTAAGACTACAAAAATTAGCCAGGTGTGGTGGCGTGTGCCTGTAATTCCAGCTACTTGGGAGGCTAAAGCAGGAGAAACATTTGAACCCAGGAGGCGGAGGTTGCAGGTTACAGTGAGCTGAGACTGCACCACTGCACTCCAGCCTGGGAGACACAGCAGGACTGTCTCTAAAAAGCAAACAAACGAAAACTCTGCAATCTGATAAAGAACATCTATGCAAAACCAATAGAAAACATTAAAATTATTTGTGGAAATTTTGAACACTTTCCTTGTAAGACTAAGAACAAGGCGAGAATTTTTGCTCTTAGCATCTTTATTCAATATTATACTGTAGTTCTTACCCACTGAAGAAAAAAAAAAAAAAAAAAAAACTTTAGTGGCATAAAAATATCAGACCAGGCATGGTGGCTCATGCCTATAATCCCAGCACTTTGGGAGGCTGAGGTAAGATTATTTAAACTCAGGAGTTCCAGACTGGCCTGGGCAAAAAATGGAGACCATGCCTCTAAAAAACAATTATCTGGGTGTGGTGGCAGGCACCTGTAGTCCCAGCTACTTGGGAGGCTAAGGCAGGAGGACTGCTTGAGCCCAGGAGTTTGAGGCTACAGTGAGCCATGATCGTGCCACCACACCTCAGTCTGGGTGACAAAACAAGGCCCCATCTCAAAAAAAAAAAAGGTATAAAAATCAAAATGGAAGAAAACATTCTATTCCAGTATATATAAAGAGTATCTACAGCTCAATAAAAGACAACTTTTAAAATGGGGAAAAAAATTGATCTGACCTGTCTCAAAGGAGGCTACGTGAACAAATAACATACATGAAAACATGATCAACTTCATCCATCAACAAAAAAATGCAAATTAAAGCCACAAAGAGAGACCACTAGACATTTAAATGGTTATTTCTTTGAGACAGGGTTTCGATCTGTGGCCAGCTGGAACGCAGAGACGCAATCATGGCTTGCTGCAACCTCAACCTTCCAGGCTCAAGCGATCCTCCCACGCCAGTCTCCACGTCGCTGGGACTACAGGCGTGCGCTACCACATCCCGCTAATTTCCAAAATTTTTGTGGTATCAGAGTCTGCTTATGTTGCCCAGGTTGGTCTCAAACTCCTAGCATCAAGCAATCCGCCCTTCTCAGCCTCCCAAAGTGCTAGGATTACAGGTTTGAGCCACTGCTCCCAGCTGAGATTGGCACATTTCATTCCATGTAAATTTACATGACCAGAGGACAGAAGTAAGGCAGGCAGACTAAGAGAGGGGCAGAACTGTAAGCAAATATTGAGCTTTAGTTCATGATGTGCACGCTAATCCATTCAGGGGTAAGGTGTTCTCATGTCTACAACTTACTCTGAAAAGCATCAGTAAGAACATAGATGGATGTTTTACAGGACAGGGTCTGGATGCAGACCCCAAGACAGGCTTCCTGGATCTCGTGCAAGAAAGAATTCAGCACGAGTCCATGGTGCAAAGCAAAAGCAAATTTATTAAGAAAGGAATAATGGCTACTCAAGACAGAGCGGCCCCCAGGACTGCTGGCTGCCTATTTTTATGGTTATTTCTTGATTATATACACTCAACAAGGGTGGGTTATTCATGCCCCCCGCTTTGCATTTTTTATTTTATTTGAGATCGTTTTACTCCTGTTGCTGTTTTATGTAAATTTTTGGTGCCACAAAAGTAGCACCCCAATATAAATTTACTCAGCAAACAGGTGTCCACAACCACGTCTGGCTAATTTTTGTATTTTTAGTAGAAGACAGGGTTTTACCATGTTAGCCAAGATGGTCTCAAATTCCTGACCTCGTGACGTGCCCACCTTGGCTTCCCAAAGTGCTGGAATTACAGGCGTGAGCTACCACGCCCAGTCAAGGCAATTTACTTCTATAGAAGGGTGCAGTTTACAGATGGAATAATGGCAGGCACACAGCTGGACAAGGGAGAGAAAGGAGTTCTTACTCCTGACACAGGTAGCCCCTACTGCTGTGTCATTCTCCTATTGGCTAGGGTTAGACTGCACAGTCTAAGCTAATTCCGATCGGCTATTTTTAAGAGAGCAGCGGTATGAGCCAGAGTGGTGGGGTGGGTAGTTTGGCAGGAAGGACGGTTATGCAACAGTTCAGAGCAGGTGACCAGGGGTGACTCAGGTCAAAGCAGTGACCAGGACAGGAGACCAGAATAGGTGGCCGGGATGAGTCAGGATGGAGCAGAGGACGGGGAACAGATGTGAACTACTGATTAGAACTGGTGGAAAAGGTTGTTTACTGAAACTACAAGGAAGTTAAACTTTAAAGTAGAGAATTAAAGAATAAGAGACCTCAACATACTGAGACACTGATTCTTTGAGGAGAAACTTGGAGTTCACTGTATATAACACTGCCCAGGCTTGAGCGCAGTGGCGTGATCTTGGCTCACTGCAACCTCCGCCTCCCAGGTTTAAGCAATTTTCCTGCCTCAGCCTCCTGAGTATTTGGGATTACAGGCATGTACCACCACACCCAGCTAATTTTTTTCTATTTTTTGTAGAGACGGGGTTTCTCCATATTGGCCAGGCTGGTCTTGAACTTCTGACCTCAGGTGATACACCCGCCTCCGCCTCCCAAAGTGCTGAGATCACAGGTGTGAGCCACCGCCCCTGGCCTATATCCCTTTTTTAGACCATATAGGGTGACTTCCTGATGTTGCCATGGCATCTGTAAACTGTCACGGTGCTGATGGGAGTGTAGTAATGAGGAACACCAGAGGACACTCTCGTCGCCATCTTGGTTTTGGTGGGGTTTAGCTGGCTTCTTTACTGCAACCTGTTTTAGCAGCAAGGTCTTCATGAAATGTATCTTGTGCCAACCTCCTGTCTCATCCTGGGATTTAGAATGCCTTAACTTCTGGGAATGCATGTTAGATATAGTGAACTCCAAGTTTCTCCTCCAATAATCAGTATGTCAGTATGTTCAGCTCCAGTTTAAAGTTTAACTTCCTGGTCCTCTTCACCCCCTCGCCTCTAGTTTCAGTAAACAACTTTCCCCCCAGTTCTAATCAGTAGTTCACATCTGTTCCCCTGGTCACCTGCTCTGACCTGAGTCATCCCTGGTCACCTGCTCTAACCAGTCCAGTAACCGTCCTTCCTACCAAACTACCCACTCCACCACTCCAGCTGGTACCCCTCCTCTCTTTAAAATAGCCAATCGGAATTAGCTTAGACTGTGCTGTCTAACCCTAGCCAATAGGAGAATGATATAGTAGTAGGGGCTACCTCCGTCAGGATTAAGAACCCCGTCCCCTCCCTTGTCCACGTGTGTACGCTCACTATTGCTCCATCTGCGAGCCCAATCTTCTATAGAAGTAAATTGCCTTGCTGAGAAAATTTATATTTGAGTATTAATTCTTTTATAGCACTGAAAATTTATACATAACATGCAGCCCAGTAGTTCTCAGCCTCTTTTTACCCAGCTCCCATTCAAGATGGAGTGGCCCTGGTTTACACACCTCTGACGGATAGTGCATAGGGGATAAAAACAATCATGCAAAATGCAAACAATTCTAATCGTTAGGTGGGGAGCACATGGGTGTTTGTCGTACAATTAGACTTTTCTCTATGCTGAGGCAGAGGGGGAGGGAGAGGAGCCTCTTTCAGGGACTCCCATGGGGTAAATCTAGGAAAGCTGGGCACTGAAATAAATCATGATCATTATGGATTACAGAATAAAACAGGAATCCATGAGTCCCTACTGAGGTTAAGGAAGGAAGGAAAAGGGGACAGTGATAAGGTTTGGACCTGTGTCCCCAACAACTCCATGTTGAATTGTAATCCCCAGTGTCGGACACGGGGCCTGGTGGGAGGTGGCTGGATCCCTGGGAGCGGATTTCTCAGAAACAGTTTGGCAGCATCCCCTCGGTACTTCCTTTGTGACGGTGAGATCTGGTTGTTTAAACGTGTGTAGCGGCACACCCCTTTTTCTCTTAACCCTGCTGTGCCCTGTGACACAGCAGCCCCCACCTCAAGAAGCAGATGCAGCATGCTTCCAGTACAGCCTGAAGAACTATGAGCCAATGTCTTCATCAATGACCCAGTCTCAGGTATGTTATAGCATTTCGAGGACAGATTAAGACAGAAGGGAAGAGAAAGGTAGAGGGAGTGAGCAGGGAAAGCGTTCTACCCTGAGCAATACATTACTATTATTTTTCGAGACAGAGACTCACTCTCTCTCCCAGGCTGGAGTGCAGTGGTGTGACCTTGGCTCATTGGAACCTCCGCCTCCCGTGTTCAAGCGATTCTCATGCCTCAGCCTCCTGAGTAGCTGAGACTACAGGTATGCAACACCGAACCTGGCAAATTTTTATATTTTCAGTAACAACAGGGTTTCACCGTGTTGTCCAGGCTGGTCTTTAACTCCTGGCCTCAGGCAATCCTCCTGCCTCAGCCTCCTCAAGTGCTGGGATTACAGGTGTGAGCCACCACACCTGGCCTCTAAGCAATAAATTTTTTTTTTTTTAATTAGAAAAGTCTGGCCGGGCGCGGTGGCTCACGCCTGTAATCCCAGCACTTTGGGAGGCCGAGGCGGGTGGATCACGAAGTCAAGAGATCGAGACGATCCTGGTCAACATGGTGAAACCCCGTCTCTACTAAAAAAAAATACAAAAATTCAGCTGGGCATGGTGGCGTGTGCCTGTAATCCCAGCTACTCAGGAGGCTGAGGCAGGAGAATTGCCTGAACCCAGGAGGCGAAGGTTGCGGTGAGCCGAGATCGCGCCATTGCACTCCAGCCTGGGTAAACAAGAGCGAAACTCCGTCTCAAAAAAAAAAAAAAAAAAAAAAAAAAAAATTAGAAAAGTCCGCATTTGGCAATCATCATAGCAGTAACAGACTCAGACCAGCATCACCAGTGGACACTAAACCTAGGTGGTGCACAATGTGATGAGACCACAGAATACGTCCAAGTATCTCACCACAACTACTTATTCATTACAAAGTAAACAACTGAGAGCTTTACAGCCAAGAAATCTAGCAGACCCCACCTTAATCAAGAGATCAAAGCTAATGTCACCAACGCTATACAAATGGACAGCAGGTGCCACCTGACAGGAGGCTGCCTCACTTCTGTGGTGTCCTTGAATGCTTCCTTGAATGCAGCCATCAGGAAGCATCACTCAAACCCAGACAGAGGCTGTTTCACAACATGATTGCCTCGTACCCTGCAAAATGTCAATATCGGCCAGGCGTGGCGGCTCACACCTGTAATCCCAGCACTTTGGGAGCTGAGGCAAATGGATCACTTCAGGCCAGGAGTTTGAGACCAGCCTGGCCAACATGGTGAAACCCCATTCTCTATTAAAAATACAAAAAAAAAAAAAAAAAAAAAAAAGCCAGGTGTGATGCTGTGTTCCTGTAATCCCAGCTACTTGGGAGGCTGAGGCAGCAGAATCACTTGAACCTGAGAGGCAGAGGTTGCTGTGAGCTGAGATGCCTCGCTGCACTCCAGCCTGGTGGGTAAGAGCAAAACTCTCTCATAAAACGAAAAAACAAAGAGTTATCATGTCTGCAACCTAGGAAAACACAAGTCAGGAATAAAATCATAAATAGAGTATACACATATGTACATATAGAGAGAATATGAACGTGAGAACGATCAACGGAATGTAAAATGTTAGCAACTGATTGATCTGGGCAAAGGACCTGTGGGATTCTTGGTACTATTCTTGCAACTTTTCTACAAGTCTAGTGTTACATCAAAATAATAAGTTTTCTAAAAAAATATGCCTGGAAACCCTGCACCCAACTCTCCCTCCTGGAAATACACACTGTCCGTTAGCATGTTAAAGGCTCTGACAAGTCCTGCATAAGGAACGCTATTCAGTTTTTAGTTAGCACATTTTCCTTGTCAGAATGCATATTCATTTCTCACAGAGGGGAATCATCTATACCCCTTTATCTAAAACTGCGTATACACCAGTGTGAGATGCTGGAATTGGAACATCAGTGGACTTGGGTGGGCTGAATCTACTCTGTAGTTCCCTAGAAAGTGCTTGCCCCTGCCCCAAGGCATTTCCTCACCCTCTCGAAGTGTCTCCTCCTGCTTCAGCCTTCCTGTGAGTGTCAGGAGGCGGGGCATCGCTGCCCAGCCAGCCACCGTGTGCCGGGTTCGGCTCTGTAAGGTCAGGACCTGGCCTCCCCTCCTTTCCTCAGATGCCTTGAAGAGCAGCTGTGCTGTGTTCTGGTCCAGTAGTGCCTTGGAAAACAGCCAAATCCTAGACGGTGAAGTAAGAGGGTTAAGATCAGGCTTTGTAGTCAGGCAAACCCGGGTTCCGAATAACAGGATAACCTGGGACAAGGACATAACCTCTCTGAGCATCAGCTTCTTCTTATGTGAAGTGGGGAATAAAGTGGACATACTGATATTGAGCATTTTTTGGAGGGCGGGGAAGACTCTCGCCCAGGCTGGAGTGCAGTGGCACGATCTCAGCTCACTGCGACTTCCAGCTCTGAGGCTCAAACGATTCTCCTGTCTCAGCCTTCCAAGTAGCTGGGATTACAGGCCCCCGCCATCACACCTGGCTAATTTTTGTATTTTTAGTAGAGACGGGGTTTCAGCATGTTGTCCAGGCTGGTCTTGAACTCCTGACCTCAGGTGATCCACCTGCCTCAGTCTGGGACTACAGGCATGAGCCACTGTGCCTGGCCTTGAACTGAAATTGACATTGATACTGACAGGTACCCACCCAGGTGTGACAGAGTGTGTTTCCACCTATGGCCACCCCTTCCCACACTCTCCTGCAATGTGACTTTGACACTCCTGCATTAAGATGTGAGATCTATTTCCTCTCCCTTTGAATCAGGGATAGCCTTGTGACCTGTGTTTTGGTCAATAGAATGTGGCATAAGTGACACTGTAGAACTTTCAACGTAGGACCCTAAGATCTGCAACTTTCACCTTCCACATTCCTGTGGGATGTGGAATGCTTCCTCTTGGAACCCAGACACCTGGTAGGAAGTCTGACCAAACTGAGACTGCCATGACGTGAGGAAGCCCAAGCAGCCACTTGGAAAGAGAGTGGGGGGGTTGCACGTGGAAGAGCACCAAGGTGCCAGACATGGGAAGGAAGCCACCACTCCGTCCTCAGCCCATGCACACAGCTGGCTGGTAAGCGACTCATCTGAAGGCTGATGTCAGCGAAGAGTCCCAGAGAATGACCCCTGCTGATGCCACATAGAGCAGAACTGCCTAAGCCTTGTGGAAACTCCTGACCCACAGAATCGTGAGCACACAAAATGGTTGTTCTTTAATCTCTAGGCTTGGGGGTAGCTCACTATGCAGCAATATCTAACCAACACACTCTCTGCCATGCACTGTGCACTTTAGATGCACTGTCTGACTCCTTACAAAAGCCCTTTGAGTTTTGAGAATATTATGATCCCCAATATACAGATGAGGAAACAGGGAGACAGAGACTAACACGTCCAAAGCTCAACTAAGCAGTTAGCAGTGCCTGACACACAGGGCTGTTCAGAACTAAATGAGCTTTGGAATACAAGGTCATAACCAGTGAGTGATATGTGAGAAAAGGAACAGACTCGTCAAGCTTGATGTTCAACTGGCTGGAAAATTGTGGCAGGGGACACAGTTCCTATCATCACACAGTGAATTCCTTATGTGACACCACGAGAGAGATTACCCTTGAGCTTCACCACTACGAACAAAATGAGCCGTGCATTTCATGGTGCACAGCTGTGGAGTGTTGGTTTCTCTCTTTGCACTGGCTGCTAGGAAACTCAGAGCCAAATCTTCAACCGAGCTCTAAAAAACACAGAGGAACTCATGGCATCCATTTTGTTTGCTGATATTTCTTTGAGTATCTTCCCAATTTTTCTATTTTTCTTTTCCCTTCCCCCAGCTTCCTCATGTATCTTTTTAAAATCTAGAACAAGGGCTGGCAAACTACAGCATGTGGGCCAAAACTGGCCCACCACTTGTTTTTATAAATAAAGTTTTATTGGAACACAGTCATGCATATTATTTATGAATTGTCTGTGGCACTCTTGTGCCTCAACGGCAGGGTTGCGTAGCTGCAACAGAGACCACATGGTCCACAAAGCTAAAAATATTTACCATCTGGCCTTCTACTGAAAGTCTGCCAACTCCTCACCTAGAACAGGGTACATTTTAATAATTTGCCTCAAATCCTTTTCAGACTGGGGATAAGGATGGACAGTTGGACAGGTGGGTGGACAGAGAGCTGTGGTGGCAATTCTGAGGACAAGGTTTATCTAGGACCATGTTCACGGCCAAGGGGCTCCTTAAATCCATGCCAAAGCTGGAACAAACCCGGGATTGCAAAGGACATGTTTTTTATTTTGTGAGACAGAGTTTCGCTCTTTTTGTGCAGGCTTAAATGCAATGGCACCATCTCGGCTCACTGCAACCTCTGCTTCCCGGATTCAAGCAATTCTCCTGCCTCAGCCTCCTGAGCAGCAGGGATTACAGGCATGCACCATCACACTTGACTAATTTTGTATTTTTAGTAGAGACAGGGTCTTCTCCATGTTGATCAGGCTGGTCTCAAACCCCGGACCTCAGGTGATCAGCCCGCCTCAGCCTCTCGAAGTGCTGGGATTACAGGCCTGAGTCACCACGCCCAGATCACAGAGGAAATATTTAACGGAGACCCAATTTGTACCAGAATACGCAGTACCTAAAATAGCAGCATAATATGGTGATGTAATAGGAAATACATACTTAGTCTCTGCCCCTAATCCTTGACACAGAGCTCCTAATCCCTTGGAAGTCGGAAGTCCCTTTTGTTGATAAGAGCATCTTTGGTTCAACAAGGTGACTCTTGGTGGGTTCCTGGATAGGACTGGTCAACAAAAAGACCAAGCCATGACAGAGCTTGGAACTTGAATCCTCTGAGAAGGGGAGAGCGGCTAGAGGCTGAGTCAATAGGCAGTCATGCCTACATGATGAAGCCACCATAGAAATCCCTGAACCATGGGGCTCACAGAGAGCTTCTGGGCTGAACACACAGAGGATGCTGAGCCCAGAGAGGGCAGGGAAGCCCAGAACCCCTTCCCCCATACCTTGCCCTATGCGTCTCTTCCATCTGGCCATTCTCCACTCATAGCCTCCATAAACAATGAGTAAATATAAATAAAAAGTTTCCCTGAGTTTTGTGAGCCATTTTTGCAAATGATCAGACACAAGATGGGAGGAGGTCATGGGGACCTCCAAGTTATAGCCAGTTGGTCAGGAGGCAGGAGAGAGCTCAGAAGCAGAGAGTAGACAGAAAGGGTCCATAGGAACCTGAGTGTGGGGGAGGATCCCCTCCTCCAGGAAGCCCTCCTGAGCCCCTCCAGCTCTCGAGCACTCACCAAGCACAGTGGGGAGCCGAACCTAGGTTCTTCCATTGTGATGGGAGCAGTCAAGGTAGATAACATGAAGAATTATAATAATCTACAGGTAATAATGTGTAATGATGTATAAAAGGTAGCTCATGCCTGTAGTCCTGGCACACTGGGAGGCTAAGGCAGAAAAACTGCTTCAGGCCAGGAGTTCAAGACCAGCCTGGGCAATATAGCAAGATCCTGTTCCCACAAAGAAAGTACAAAAATTTAGCCAGGTGTGGTGGCAAGCCTGCAGATCCAGCTACTAGCAAGCCTGAGGGGAATGGTGTCTACACCTGCAGACAGCCTTGCACACTTAACCTGAGGGGCTGATGCCACCTCCAGAGTCAGAACTCAAGTTAATTTGTAGGACAACCAGTTAGCGTCCATCAGAGAATTGCTTGCTAGAGAAAATGACGCCCCTGCCCCTGGTCACAGAGGCATCATGTCTGAGCACTGAGAGGACAGTGGCAGGAAAGTCTGGCATTTCATTTGACACCTGCAGCAAAGAGGGTACCCACTGAGCATGCCCACTGACCCTAGCTTGGAACTCACATGCAGCGCTCAGTTCATCCACCCTAAGAAGCAGGGGGAGAAACTGAGGCACAGAAGGGAGAAACTGAGGCACAGAAGGGAGAATGGTCCCAGAGGCAGCAGTGGCAGAGCCAGGACTTGAACCCAAGTGGCCAATCCTGGACCCCAGGCTCCTGAGCACCCCACCATACTGGACAAGTCCATACGTAAATATATACTCAGACGTGAGACCAGAGGGAGACGCACATTCTTTGGGGTCACTAGTGATTTTGTTTCACTCGTTTTTACGTTATTACAATTATTACTATCTTAGCAACAGGCTCATTTCCCTGTGCCGCCCAGGCTGGACTGCAACGGTGCAATCACAGCTCACTGCAGCCTCCAACTCCGAAGCCCAAGCAATCCTCTCACCTCAGCCTCCCAAGTAGCTGGGATTACAGGTGCACGCCACCACATCTGGCTAATATTTTTTTTTAATTTTTTTGTAGAGATGGGGTCTTGTGATGTTGCATAAGCTGCTCTGGAGCTCCTGCACTCAAGCTACCCTCCTGCCTCAGCCTCCCAAAGCCCTGGGGCGTGACCCATGGTGCCCTGGCCTTATATATCATCTTTAAGCCATCTACAATAAACGCTCTCATAACAATACAAAAAAGAAATAAAGGGTGAGAGTGAAACTGAATGCCACCTGCTTCTGACACCCTCAGTGGCACCGATGGGGCTGACCTGGGTGTGGTCTCAGAGGGACTGAGAGGGGCCTCTGAGTGAGGGTTTCCCATGTCCCGGGACAGGTGCCTTTTGCCCTCTGTGGTCTCCCCGCCTCGTCGCAGGCCACCTGGGGACCGTTACCTTGCTGGGGTGATCTTTCCAGACAGCTGCAGCCGAACAGCCCTGGGGGCGCTGAGGACAGCCTGGTGGAGAAGGACACTCACGCCCCAGCCCCGGCTGCTCCTCCGAGTGTCCTGGCTGGCGTCGACCTCCAGCAGAGCCATCTCCTGGCCGGACATTTGCACAGATAGGGACCCGTTGAGGCTGCGCACTCTGTAGTGTCTGGCAGCTGCCTGCACCTGCAGGGAGGCAGGGGAAGGACAGGAAGTGTCTGTGAGACCCTGGGTGTGGGGGAGGGCTGCCTCCTCCTCCAGGAAGCCCTTCTGGGCCACTCCAGCTTTGAGCACTCACCAACCATGGTAGACAGCACACAAGCAGAATGAAAAACAGATGGAGGGAGGAAGGGGGAGACAGCCTACCCCGGCCCCAGCTCCCGGCGCAGGAGTACAGTCTCATCTTGACCTTTCCACCACATGTGAAATGGGAGTTCTTACTGTAAAATGGGGAAACTGAGGCTCTCAGAGGGTCACATAGGCCACCTGAGTCTGCCTAGCTCTAAAACTTGTGCCGGTGCCTGAAAGAGGCTGGTGAGGGAAGCAGAGGACATCTTTGCAACTCCTCCACAGAAAAGGAGGCCCCATCGAGTGCCTGCCGGGCACCAGAGGACCCAGAACTTCTGGGGTTCAAAGAGGATGGCATCTGAGTACCCGAGTGGTCAGGCTGGGGTGAACACGTGGCTGGGCCCAACAAGGGTACTGAGGGGAGCAGAGGGTGCTGCGAGCAGAGAGGCCCAAGGCTCCACCAGCTCCTCGGGACCTGAGTCCCTCCCTTTCCTGATCTGGGCCTCAGTCTCCCCATCCGCAAAGTGGGTTTAGCCCTGTGGTTCTCAATCCAGCCTGTGCATTACAATCACATGGAAAAATTTTTTTTTTTTTAAATTTTCTGAGATGGAGTCTCACTGTGTCACCCAGACTGGAGAACAGTGGTGCAATCTCAGCTCACTGCAACCTCTACCTCCTAAGTTCAAGTGATTCTCCTGCCTCAGCCTTCTGAGTAGCTGGGATTACAGACACCTGCCACAATGCCCAGCTAATTTTTTTTTGTATTTTTAGTAGAGACAGGTTTACTATATTGCCCAGGCTGGTCTCAAACTCCTGACCTCAGGCGATCTGCCCGCCTTGGCCTGCCAAAGTGCTGGGATTACAGGCGTGAGCCACCATGCCCAGCCCGGAAAGCTTTTAAAAGAATGCCTGGTGCCTCCATAGATGAACTGATAAATAAAATATGATACATCCACACAATGGAGTATTACCCAGTGCTAATAAGAAATGAGCGATTAAGCTGAAAATGACAGAGGAAGCCAAGCATGGTGACTCACGCCTGTAATCCCAGCACTTTGGGAGGCCAAGGTGGAAGGATTACCTGTGGTCAGTTCGAGACCAGCCTGACCAACATGGAGAAATCCCGCCTCTATTGAAAATACAAAAATTAGTCAGGCGTGGTGGTGCATGCCTGTAATCCCAGCTACTCAGGAGGCTGAGGCAAGAGAATCTCTTGAACCCAGGAGGTGGAGGCTGTAGTGAGCCAAGATCATGCCATTGCACTCCAGCCTGGGCAAAAAGAGCAAAACTCTGTCAAAAAAAGAAAAAGACATCGAGGAAACTTAAGTATGTATTACCAACTGAAAGCAGCTCATCTGAAAAGGCTGCACACCGTGTTCCAAGTCTGTGACATTCTGGAGAAGTCAGAACCACAGATAGTAAAAGTATCAGCGGTTGCCGGGGGTGGAGCGTAGGAGGGATGAAAAGGTAGAGCCCAGAGGATTTATTTAGGGCAGGGAAACTTCTCTGAATGACGCTGTAATGGCAGATCCATGACACTATATGCATCTGTCAAGCCCATAGACTGGCAGGGCACGATAACTCACACCTGTGACCCCAGCACTTTGGCGACCAAGGCAGGAGGACTGCTGGAGGCCAGGAGTTTGAGACCAGCCTGAGCAACAGAGCAAGATCTCCTCTCTCTACAAGAATTGGAAACATTAGCTGAGCGTGGGGACGTGCACCTGTAGTCCCAGCTACTCAGAAGGCTGTGGTCAAAGGGTGACTGGTGTCTGGGAGGCGGACGCTGCCATGAGCCATGATCACGCCACTGCACTCCAGCCTGGGTGACACAGCAAGACCGTGTCTTAAAAATTATAATTAAAATGGCCAGGCACGGTAGCACATGCCTATAATCCCAGCACTTTAGGAGGCTGAGGCAGGCAGATCACCTGAGATCAGGAGTTTGAGACCAGCCTGGCCAACATGGCGAACCCTGTCTCTACTAAAAATACAAAAATTAGCCGGGCGTGGTGGCAGACGCCTGTAATCCCAGCTACTCCTCAGGCTGAGGCAGGAGAATCGCTTGAACTTGGGAGGCAGAGGCTGCAATGAGCCAAGATCGTGTCACCACACTCCAGCCTGGGCGACAGAGCCAGACTCCATCTACAAAACAAAACAAAACAAAAACAACTAAAATTAACCTTTGAGCCAGGTGCAGTGGTTCATGCCTATAATCCCAGCACTTTGGGAGGCCGAGGCAGGTGGATCACTTGAGGTCAACAGGAGCTCAAGATCAGCCTGGCCAACATGGCGAAATCCCATCTCTACTAAAAACACAAAAAATTAGCCAGGCATGGTAGTGCACACTTGTAATCCCAGCTACTTGGGAGACTGAGGCAGGAGAATCGCTTCAACCTGGGAAGCTGAGGTTGCAGTGAGCCAAGATTGCGCCCCCGCACTCCAGCCTGTGCGACAGAGTGAGACCCTGCCTCAAAAAAAAAAAAAAAAAAAAAAATTAATGTTTGAACCCATGAGATGACCCAGCATCCAAGCTTCCAGGGGAACCCACCCCCACTCCCCAGTGAGTTCAGGGAATCGCATGAGCTCTGAAGCCAGACGCCTGGGTTCCCACCCAAAATCTTCCTCTTGTGAGCTCCATGATCTTGGGCAAGTCATGCCACCTGTCTAAGTCTCAGAGCCGCACCCACAAAATGGTACCACAGTGCTCCACACCCCACACAACAGCATCAAGAGATGTCCACAAGATAATCCACAAGAGGGTTCAGAACAGAGGCTGCCGTGCAATCACTCCACAGACGTCAGCTCCTAGAACAAATGGTTCATATGATGGCGTTTCCTCCAATCTAAGATGCCAGCAGTGCTCAGATGGGCCGTGATCTTAGGGAATCCCACGAAAGCAACATTCAATTTCCTTTTAAAACCCAACGCACAGGGAATGCACAGCAGGTGTCTGAAAAATGCTGTCAGGGCTGGACGCAGTGGCTCATGCCTGTAATCCCAGTACCTTGGGAGACTGAGGGAGGAGGATCACATGAAGCCAGGAGTTCAAGACCAGCCTGGGCAACACAGTAAGACCCCGTCTCTGCCAAAAAAAGAAAAAATACAAAAACTAGCCAGGTGTCGTGGCACATGCCTGTGGTCCCAGCTACTCAGGAAACTGAGGTGGGAGGATCACTTGACCCCCTGCGGTCAAGGCTGAAGTGAGCCGTGATGATGCCACTGCACTCCGGCCTAGGAAACGGTGAGATCCTGTCTCAAAAGAAATTTATCTTGAAATTTCTCAGGCTAGGTAAAGTGGCTCATGCCTGTGATCTCAGCACTTTGGAAGGTTGAAGCAGGAAAACGGCTTGAGGCCAAGAGTTTAAAACCAGCCTGGGCAACATGGTGAGACCCCACCTGTAATTAATTTTTTTTTTATTGCTATCAAATTAATGGTCTGCCCCACACCTCCTGAGGGCCTTATCCCTGTCAGGATTTCCTATTTGCACCTCCAAGCCCCTGAATTAGCCACTAAGTAATTCCTGTGCAAACACCACCCACACCCTGCTCAACGAAGCTGCAAACTTCATTGGGGACAGGGCTCTCTAGTGCCCCGGCCCTGGGGGCTTCCACCTGGATGTCTTTCTCCACCTCTTTACTTCCACACTGGGCAAAATACCCTGGGTCAATAAAGCCCTCCTGAAGCATTACACGGCTTCTCCCAAGCCCAATACAGGGCACAGTTTGGAGGAAAATTCTGTTTCTGTCCATTTTCAAGAGTGAAATATGATCCTTCATCCCCACCCCTGAAAGCTAAAAACCCTTCTTGCCTGGACAATCACTTCCAAATGATGGATTTGGAAACCTCCCTGCCATCTGTTCTTGGTTCTGCAGAGGCTGTTTGGCTAAGCACGACGCTCCAAGTGCAGGCTGCCTCCCTCCTCCGGGCCCTCATCCTGCTTTCCTTCCGCCCATCGCTGCTGCTCACAGACAACCCTTGGCAGGCAAGTCAAGGTCATCCCCGAGGGAGCAACATCCATACCTGGAAGTTTGGAGGAAATGTTGGTCTGTGGGGATGTCTGAGTTGGAAGAAAAACGCCAAGTCGGAGTCAGATCTGTTCAGCTGGACCGAGACCTGTTGCGGGTAGAGTTGGAAAAGTGTCACAGGGAACGGGGGAGATGCAGAACCCCTGGCGATGGCGGCTGGGCAAATGCATCCCAGAATATGCCCCAAGCTCAAGGCAGAAACGTCTGTCCTCCCCCAGTGTTCCTCAGCCCTAAATCTTACTCAGGCTGCACTCCTGAAAAAGGATGCTTAGGAAGTGAAGCCCTGGGGGGCTGGGAAGACCACTCTGGGACCCCCTCTTCTCTGGGACCCCCTCTTCCCTGCTATGGTTCCTGTTCACGCCTCCCACAGCTCCTTGACCCTGACCACAAACCAGGCACTGTGCTACCAGGTTCACAGTGAGCATCTCATTTAATCCTCAACCCTGCTTTGCTGGGTTGGTGTTACCATCCCACCTTCCAGATAGCAAAACTGAGGCTCAGTGGTGTCCAGTATCTCAAGGTTATAGAGCTCATTAACAGTGAAACTGGGAAATGAACTTGAACTTATCTAACACTAAAAGCCCACTAGATTTAAAGCTCCTCAGAGATGGGAACAGAGATGGGGACAGAGTCACCCTTGCACCCCCCCAATGGACATCACAGAGCCTGGCACACAGCAGAGACACAACCCATCCATGTTCAATGAATGGACATGAACACATACATGGATGAACAAATGAACAGCCATGAATGAGTAAATATACCTACAATGGCTGCTATATATTTACCAAACTGCATTTCCTTTTCTTTCTGAACATACAGCTAAAACTACATTTCCCAGCCTCCCTTGCAGCTAGGTGGGGTCATGTGATGAGAACCCAGGCAGGAATGACCAACCTTTCGACTTACAAGTCTGGCCCATAAAAACCTCCTGCCTAACTCTCCACCATGTCTCCCTCCATCTGTCATCTAGGACAGAGCCACAAGGTGGGAGGCCTGGATCCTGAGAGACTGCATGGAGCAGAGCCTCGCTGCGCTGAGACGTGAATACTGGCCTTTCACAATGAGGCAAACATTTGTTTACAATAGTCAATGCATCCTGACTAATCACACACACACTGTAAAAATAAGGGCTGTACTGTTGGCTTCCTAGGGTCATGCCTCCTGCCACCTCCTGACACATTCCAAACAAGGCACCTTCACTAAAGTTTATTAAAAACTGCCTCCCTAGGCAAGGGAGCAGAATTCAGCCTCCTGACCTGGGATGTGATGTTGTGGTTGATGGCAGCTCGAGTATCCACGCCAAAATTGAATGTTCCTGGAGGACTCTGTCTAAAGATGATGCCCCCATCCCAGCTCAGGGTCTGGGGGAAGCTCAGCTGGGAAGAAAACAGACAACACCCTTTACTTCATGAACAGCCAAGCTCTGTGTGGAGATCACAAACCAGTGTCTGGGACCTGTACCTGGTAGGAATGGGCCAAGTCCAGGGCTAGGCTGTGCCGGCTTTCCCCGCGCTGAGATCTGTCATGATGCAGACCCTTTAAGTGCAGTACAGCTTTCCGGTTGACTTTCAAAGTGGCCTCGACCTCCCTTTTCTTAGCCTAGGTGAGTGAGAACCGGAGGCACTGAGAGAGGTCCTGTCCCATCTCCACGTGCCTGCAGAAGCCACCCCGGGAACCCAGCAGTCAGAAGAAAGTGGTCCCAAGATTGATGGGCTACGGAGCAGCCTACAGTCTTCCATTTATAGGGCAGGAAGTGGGGACAGGTGCACAGGAATGATGAATTCCAATGCCTACAGGTAAGATTAGCAGGGTGGGCTTGATGGAACAAACGTGAATACCTGTGTCTTCTTCAAAGAAAGTGCCCTCGGAATAGTCTGTTTTGTTCACTGCCATATTCCTAACACTTAGCGCAGGTTCTGGCATGTAGTAGGTGCTCAATAAATATTTGGGCAAATGCAGAATCCCTAGTTACAGCCTGAAACCCCAAGGTCAAAGCTGTGCTGGAGTGAAAGAATGCATAATTCTTTGTGGAGCTGGCAGAACACTCATGCCACGATAACATCCATGTCCTCATCACTGAAACCTATAAATATGTGACCTTTCATGGCAAAAGAGACTTTGCAGTGTGATTGGATTGAGAATCTTGAGATGGGCAGATGATCCAAGTGGCCCTAAAGTAATCACAAGGGTCCTATGAGAGGGAGGCAGGAGGGTCAGTCACACAGACTGGAAGATGCCACGCTACTGGCTTTCAAGGTGGAAGAAGGGGCCACGAGCCAAGGCATGCAGGCAGCTTGTAGAAGCTGGTTAAAGGAAAGAAAAAGGACTCTTCCTCTGGAGCTTCCAAAAAGGACACAGCCCTACTAACACCTTGGTTTTAGCCACGTGAGATCTATTCTGGGCTTCTGAGCTCCAAAACTGTAAAATAAATCTGTGATGTTTTAAGCCACTAAGATTGCAGTGATTTGTTACGGCAACCATAGCAAACTAATATACAATTGCGCCATCATTTATTCACTCAACAACCATTCAGATTCTGCCACAGGCCAAGTACACAGTAGCACGTTACCATCTTTCCTACCTGTGTTGAAGTTAAAAATGCCTGCTAAGGAGCTTTGTCATTGCTGTGTACCTTTAAAGGGATGCTCAGCTTTACATTAGAACCAAGATGGAGGAAGAGAAATAAGGGTCCAAGGGGGCCAAGGGAAATGCGAAATGAGAAAAATGTTTGTCATTAAACACACATGGCTTTGTTTTGTTTTTTTGAGACAGTCTCACTCTGTCGCCCAGGCTGGAGTGCAGTGGCATGATCTTGGCTCACTGCAACCTCCATCTCCGGAGTTCAAGTGACTCTCCTGCCTCAGACTCCCGAGTAGCTGGGATAACAGGTGCGTACTCCCACACCCAGCTTTTTTTTTAAATATATATTTAGTAGAGATGGGTTTTCACCATGTTGGGTCACGCTGCTCTCAAACTCGTGACCTCAAATAATCCGCCTGCCTCAGCTTCCCAGAGTGCTGATATTACAGGCGTGAGCAACCACACCCAGCTTAGACATGTTTTTAAAGAGAGCAGAGAGGCCGGGCGCAGTGGCTCACACCTGTAATCCCAGCACTTTGGGAAGCCGAGGCGGGTGGGTCACAAGGTCAACAGATCGAGACCATCCTGACCAATATGTGAAACCCCATCTCTACTAAAAAATACAAAAATTAACCGGGCGCGGTGGTGTGCGCCTGTAGTCCCAGTTACTTGGAAGGATGAGGCAGAAGAATCAATTCAACCAGGAGGCAGAGGTGGCAGTGAGCCGAGATTGTGCCACTGCACTCCAGCCTGGTGTCAGAGTGAGACCATGTCTCAAAAAATAATAAAAAAGAAAGAGCAGAGCGCCAAATTACACGGTATGAAAGGACTGCCATTTACTCAGTCTGCTGTTGTCAGCTGGGATTTGAAGCCCGGTATGGTCACGTCTTCTCATTTTTTTTTTTCTTAGAAACAGCAGAAATCTGGATTTCACTCAAAATCTTCTGATTTTCTAATGTAGCAATTAATTTCCTTAAAAAACTCAAATGCTAAGCAGACCAAACAAAACCCATCTGCAGGTCGAATTTGACCCACAGTGCTGGCTCTGCAATTTCCAGCATAAGAAACAGCAAACACCATTGGGAGGCACTTTGCAGGCGTCTGAGGCTGTCATCCTGCCATTCATTTTCCCCTAAAAGCTCTACGTCACCCCTGGGGAGGCGCGCGCAAACACACACACACACACACACACACACACACACACACACGGCGCGCGCAAACACACACACACACACACACACACACACACACACACACACACACGGCCTCATTTGACTAATGGTAAAGGGAGCCCCAGAAGGATGGGTCTCAATGCGCAACACGTGCTTAGTTCACCCTCCTTCCCAGGGGCTGGGGTGCATCTTGCAAGAGACAAACAGCCAGGCGTGGTGGCTCACACCTGTCATCCCAGCACTGTGGGAGGCTGAGGCGGGTGGATCACCTGAGGTCAGGAGCTTGCCATCAGCCTCACCAAAATGGAAAAACCCCATCTCTACTAAAAGTACAAAAATCAGCTGGGTGTCGTGGTGGGTGCCTGTAATCCCAGCTACTCAGGAGGCTGAGTCAGGAGAATCACTTGAACCCAGGAGGCGGAGGTTACAGTGAGCCGAGATCACGCAGCTGCACTCCAGCCTGGGAAACAGAGGGAGACTTGGTCTTATTAAAAAAAAAAAAAAAAAAAAAAAGGATAGGAGGGGTCTGCACGTGAACCTGGGAGGTGGAGGGTTACAGTGAGCTGAGATTTAATCACTGCACTCCAGACTCCAGCCTGGGCAACAGAGGGAGACTCTCTCAAACAAACAAAAAAAGAGAGAGAGAAGCAATGACTATCTTCCTTGGGGGCTTAGCACACCGCAGATACTCCGTAAATGCTTGCTGAAAAGTGCGGTGATCTCCCAGAGTATTGACGCCTCCTAGAGGTGTCAGGAAGAAGCCTTGGACGGGGGCATGGCAGGCATTTTACAATTCTCCATTGTAATCTTCACAGCCCCTGCGTAAGAGATGAACACTGCTGCTCCCATTCTGCAGACAAGGAAACTGAGGTCCAGAGACATGAAATAATTTGCCAAGGAAACACAGGCAAAAACAAGTTTCACCCCGAGAGCCAAAATGTCAATACCCTCATCCAGGCCCAGCGACTCTTATCTGTAATCACAGCACTTTTTTTATTTTTTGAGACCAAGTCCCCCAGACTGGAGTGAAGCGGTGCCATCTCAGCTCACTGCAACCTCTGCCTCCTGGGTTCAAGTGATTCTCACACCTCAGCCTCCCAAATAGCTGGGATTATAGGCACCTGCCACCATGCCCGGCCAATTTTTTTAGTTTTTTAGTAGAGATGGGTTTCACCATGTTGGCCAGGCTGGTCTCCAACTCCTGACCTCAAGTGATCCACCCTCATTGGCCTCCGAAATTGCTGGGATTACAGGCATGAGCCACCATGCCTGGCCTAATCCCAGGACTTTGAAAGGTAAGGCAGGAGGATTCCTTGAATGTAAGAATTCAAGACCACCCTGGGAAACAGAGAGAGATCTCCATCTCTACAAAACATTTTTAAAATGAGCTGGGCGTGGTGGTGCACACCTGTGGTCTCAGCTACTCAGGAGGCTGAGGCGGGAGGATCACTTGAGGCCAGGAGGTCAAAGTTGCAGTGAGTGAGCCATGATCGAGCCCCTGGACTCCAGCCTGGGTGACAGAGCAATACCCCATCTCAAAAGAGATCCTGTAACTCAGGGGTCAGCAACTAATGCCCCTGGTCCAAATGTGGTGTGTTTCAGTAAGTAAAGTCCTGTTAGGACACAGCCACGCCCATTCATTACGTACTCATTACGTACTGTCCACGATTCTCTCGAACTGCAATGGCAGAGTGGAGTCAACAAGGCCTGAACCGTGTGCCCGTGAAGCCTGAACTAGTTACTACCTGGTTCTTTCCAGAAAAGTTTGGTGGCCTCTACTCTGGGTCCTGGCATGCAGTGGCTGTTAAATAGCATCATGGCAGCAACTATTCATGGAGCACCTACTGTGTACCAAGTCCTGTAGCTACAGGGTAAAGTACTCATGGAGATCGTAAGTTTTCCAGAGTAACAAAGGAACCAGTGGCTGATGCATCGCACAAAAATTGAACTGGGGCCAGGTACGGCGGCTCACACCTGTAATCCCAGCACTTTCGAGGCTAAGATGGGAGGATCACTTAGAGTCCAGGAGTTCAAGACCAGCCTGGGCAACACAGCAAGACCCTGTCTCTACTAAAAATAAACAATTAAGAAAGGCAGGTGGGCCGGGCGCGGTGGCTCACGCCTGTAATCCCAGCACTTTGGGAGGCCGAGGCGGGCGGATCACGAGGTCAAGAGATCGAGACCATCCTGGTCAACACGGGAAACCCCGTCTCTACTAAAAATACAAAAAATTAGCTGGGCATGGTGGTGCATGCCTGTAATCCCAGGTACTCAGGAGGCTGAGGCAGGAGAATTGCCTGAACCCGGGAGGCGGAGGTTGCGGTGAGCCGAGATCGCGCCATTGCACTCCAGCCTGGGTAACAAGAGCGAAACTCCGTCTCAAAAAAAAAAACAAAAAAAAGAAAGGCAGGTGTGGTCGTGGTATGTGCCCGTGGTCCCAGCTACTCGGGAGGCTGAGGTGAGAGGATTACTTGAGCCTAGGAGGTCAAGGCTACAGTGAGTGAGATTGTGCCACTGCACTCCAGCCTGGGTGACACAGTAAGACTTTGTCTAAAAAAAAAAAAAAAAAGAAACTGAAATTATGATTGATGCTAGAAGCAAAAGATATCGGGCAAGCTAGGCACAGCGGTGATCCCAGCGCTTTGGCTGGGAGGCCGAGGCGGGGAGATCACTTGATGTCACAAGTTCGAGACAACCTAGCCAACATGGCGTAATCCTGTCTCTACAAAAAATACACAATCTAGCCAGGCATGGGAATGCACGTCTGTAATCCCAGCCACTCGGGAGGCTGAGGCAGGAGAATCACTTGAAACCCGGGAGGCAGAGGTTGCTAAAAGGATATAAGGGTTCGCTGGAGTAACCAGGGGTGTGTGTGAGGTGGTCTGGGGGTCATGTGAAAGGATGCTGGAGCTCAGCCCTACACGATGAGTAGAAGGGAGGTGAAGGAGAGGGTGACAGCTCCAGGCACAGGACACGCAGAGGTCCTGAGGCAGGAAAGAGCCAGGCGAGGAAATGCGAAGAGTCTGGAGGAGGGGAATGCAGGCCACGAAGTGGGGCTGAGGGCACAGGACTGGGGCTTTATCCCAAGAGAGGCTGTCACAGTTTGAGAGCCAGGGAGTGGCAGAGTTATGCTGACCTTTAGAAAATATCCTCTGGGCTGGGCGGGGTGGCTCAGGCCTATAATCCCAGCACTTTGGGAGGCGAGGGGGGCGGATCACGAGGTAAAGAGGTCGAGGCCATCCTGGCCAACATGGTGAAACCCCCATCTCTACTAAAAATACAAAAATTAGTCAGGTGTAGTGACACGCGCCTGTAATCCCAGCTACTCGGGAGGCTGAGGCAGCAGAATCACTTGGACCCGGGAAGTGGAGATTGCAGTGAGCCGAGATCACACCATTGCGCTCCAGCCTGGTGACAGAGTCAGACTCCATATGAAAAAAAAAAAAAAAAAAAGAAAAAGAAAAAGAAAATATCCCTCTGGCTGTCACACAGACCGTACTAGGGAGGACCAAATGAAACAGAGAACCCAGGCAGGAGAACCTCCTTTTTTGTGAGGCAGAGTCTGGCTCTGTGGCCCAGACTGGAATGCGGTGGTGCGATCTCGGCTCACTGCAACCTCTACCTCCTAGATTCGAGCGATCTGCCAGCCTAAGCCTCCCAAGTAGCTGGGACTACAGGTACCCACCACCACACCCGGCTAGTTTTTGTATTTTTAGTAGAGACAGGCTTTCACCATGTTGGCCAGGCTCGTCTCAAACCCTGACCTCAGGGGATCTGCCTGCCTTGGCCTCCCAAAGTGCTAGGATTACAGGCGTGAGCCACCGTGCCCAGCGTGGATAACTCTTCTGGGGGAAGGGGGGTGTCTGAGTCTTGCTCTGTGACCCAGGCTGGAATGCAGTGGTGTGATTACAGCTTACTGAAGCCTCAACCTCCTGGGCTTAATTGATCCTCCTGCCTCAGCCTCCAGAGTAGCTGGGACTACAAGTGCACACCACCATGGCTAATTAAAAAACATTCCTTTTTGGAGAAATGAGGTTTCCATATGTTGTCCAGATGGCTCTCCAACTCCTGGCCTTTCCAGATCCTCCCGCCTCAGCCTCATGAGTGGCTAAGACTACAGGTGTGAGCCACTGCACTCAGTCCAGAGAATGTGTTTCTAATCCTATTGAGAGATGACAGCAACTTGAACCAGGGCTGGCTGGGGTGCAAAGGTCTCTGGGGCCTCCACTCTTACCTTGTGCTGATTCCAAGTAACCAGGCACCCCTCTGTGTTCCTGGGGATGGCTGTGCCATCGTATGGATGCGTCAGACCTGCACAGACCTGGGAGGGGCAACCACATACATGTACAGACGCATGCAGGAATGTCCACAGGCAGCTGGGGCCTCCTTCCAGCTCTCAGGCCCCTTCCCGGCTGTGCCCAGGCCCACTCACATAGGGGTGTCCCGCCTGGTAGCCCAGAACGACAGTCTGCAGGGTTTCCTCTTGGCCATTCAGGACAACCCTTGTCTCCAGGGAATAGCGCTGGTGTCGCCCGTCAGCTGTGAAGGTCCCCTGCAGGACAAGGCTCTGCGGGATGGGCAGGCGCAAGGGGTGCCTGGTGTGCAGAGGGAAAAACAGGCCAAAGCCACTAAAGCAGCTGGCAGTGTCGGGGACAACTGGGCCCCACGGTCTCAGCCTGGGCCTGTCGTGAGCTTGCCGAGTTTGGAGTCTGTCTCAGAGAAGACAACATCAGCACATAGGGCAGCCCTGTGCTTTCACAATTTGTCATTCAGAACCCTTCACCATCTCACTGTGCCATCAAGGTGGGCACAGCTGGGGTCCCCGTCGCCATTGGACAGTAAAGACCCAAGGTGATAGATGGCACACACCATCTGGTGTCACAAAGACTGGGGCTGAAATCCAGGCACGGACTTTCACTAGCTGGGTGACCTTGCGCAAAGGACTTGACCTCTGTGCCTCAGTTCCCCCATATGTAAAATGCAGCTAAAATAACACTCATTGGACACAGTGACCGGGATGAGAGGTCACATACATGAAATGAATGTAAGCTCCCCAAGAGCAAGGGTTTCTGCCCTTCTTGTTCTCTGCCATTTTCCACGTGCCCAGAAGAGGACTTGGTACATAATAGGTGCTCAATGAATGTAAACGGGGCAAAAACACAAATGAAATCTGCAAATGACATTGCTATTCCTTGTCATTACTGCTGATGTTTCGGCCGTAGGTGACTTGTCTAACACCACACAGCTGCTCAATGCATACCCTGGCGTCCAAGATGGCTCTGCTCATTCCAATCTCATGCTGTTCCCAGCACACAGGGAACTGCCTTTTTAATGAGCTCTGTCTCTAGGAAATGAGAAGACTCTCCAAGCAGCCCCAGGCTAGGATAAGACTGACTTCTGCTCCCACCTGAACAACTAATGGAGCAGATAGGGATGTGGCAGCTTTCAGGGGAGGGGGCTGTTCTCTGGGATCTGGTTCCGTTCGGGCCCCAGCAGGTCAGCAGGGTTTCTCCAGGTAGCTCTGCCCATTCTGTGCCCCCTGGGGACCCTCCGTGCTGGAAAAGGGGAAACTTTTGCAGGGGTGTCAGCCTAGGAGAAGGGGCACACGCACCGAAAGAGCAATGTCCCCCGTTTCTGGTACAATGTCCTGTCTCGCCTCAGCTCCTCCAGCTCACCCTCCAACTGCAGGCCCCGAGGCTGGCCATGGGTACCGGTCCCCAGAGCCATCAGTGACACCTGGGTCTTCCGCGGCTGCAACAAGATCCAGGCTGAAGGGAGGGATGGGCCAATAGGACCAAGCCGCAGACCCACCTTGCAGGGAGGCAAGGGGTAGCCCCCCACAGCCTGTCGATTGCCCCCAGAAGTGACTATCTAAGAACAGCTACTGAACTGGACCGCAGCCTCCAGCCTGATCAAACCGCAGGAGCCCACCAGCTCCCACCACAGCTGGACCTCCCTAGGTGCCCGAGGGAACAAAGAACTTGGACTTCTCAGCTAAAGGAAGCCCAGCTTTGCTCCTGAATCTGTGCTAATGTGACTAGGGTCGATTTCACAGACTAAGAAACTAAGTCTGAGCACAGTGGCTCACCCCTGTGATCCCAACACTTCGGGAGGCTGAGATGGGAGGATCACTTGATTCCAGGGCTTTAAGACCAGCCTGGGCAACACAGCAATACCACATGTGTGCTTAAAAAAAAGTCAGAGATTTCCTCCCCCTGGGATATCCTTTCATCTCCTTCCTGCTTGGTGGACTCCTATTCATCCCTTAAAACCCCTTCAATGTCATGGTAGCATGAGTGGCATGTGTCTATAGTTCTGATGACTTGGGAGGCTGAGGTGGGAGGATCCTTTGAATCCAGAAGTTGGAGGCTGCAGTGAGCGATGACTTCATCACTGCATTCCAGCCTGGGCAACAGAACCAGACTGTCAAAAAAATATCTAAAAAGAAAAAAAGGAAAAGGAAAGAGAGAGAGAAAGAGAGGCTCAGGGAGGCCCAAGGTCACTGGCCAAGCCAGTGGCACAAAGCCCTTTTCTATCCCAAGCAGGGAGAGAGCCAGGAGAGCCAGGAGAGGGACTGGTTGGTCGGGCTCTCACCCACTCGAGGCGCCTGTAGGTGGCTGTTAGGTTGAGCTCCCGCTGGGCGCCTTTCAACCAGCAGTGCAGGATCTTACGGTCCCAGCTGTTCTCAGCATGGATCTCACCCTGCACTGCTGCGTTCCAGGCTGACTCGAGTTTGCTCCAGCTGTGGAAGAGGCTCTGTGCCAAGACTGTCACCATGGAAACCTGCAATGAGGTGGGGAGAAGGACCAAGGCCTTTGAACACCCTATTTCCTCCCCCTGGGATACCCTTTCATCTCTTTCCTACTTGGTGAACTCCTATTCATGCCTCAAAACCCCTTCATGCCATTTCTGTGAGGCCTAACCTGACTGGTACAGGGAGGCTAGTTTTCTCTACAGGGCCTTAAGGAAAAAAAAAAAAAAACAAACAAAAAAAACTCTCTGTTGCCCCAACCCTGAGCAGACATAACTTCCTTCTCTCCTCTTCAGTTTGGGAATGTGATCTCGCTGGGCCGCTATTACCAGTAGCCAGCGTGTCTGTACCCTGAAGGGCACACACTGACAGGTGGCCTTCGGGAATCCTAGGAAGAGCTGGGTGTGACCTGGCTCGTTTCGGGGCTGGGGAGGTAGGCCATTTGCAGCCATCACTCGGCACAAGCCCCGCGTGGTAGTTGGTGCCCTGCTGGCTGCCATCCCTCATTCACACAACTCAGGGGATTCGCAGGCAGAAGTGGCAAGGACAAGACAGGGTTTGGGCTCGGCTGAGCCTCCAACCCAGTACAAGAACTTCGCACCACCTTGTCCCATGTCACTGACCCTCGGTTCCCCCCGGCCAACTTCCCCATTTCCTTGAATGGCACTTCCATTCCACCAGATGCTTAAGCCAAAACCTCTGAGCTATTTATTTCCTTTCCATCACTCCCTCCCGCCGCCAATCCATCAGCATCTCCAGGATCTGATCACTTGCTAGTACCTCCACTGCCACCGCCCTGTGCAGGGCCGCCATGCCCTCCGGTTGGGTGAAGGATGGGAGCTGGCTGGTCGCCCGCACCTTGAGCTCCTGTCTTGGCATCCTCCGGTACACAGAGGCTACCTTGTGGTCCCTAAGATTATCATCACCCTTGACTCCACCCTGATGCCACCCAGCCCGGCCTCAGAGGGCACTCTCCTGCCCTCGGATGAGCCCCATCAGGCCTGGACCTTCCCCACTTCCATGCATCACTCAGTACAGGGAGACTGTCCATGCACCAGGCTCCCTCAGCCCTGCAGATGACACTCAAGTGTTTTCTCCCAAACCTGTTCTTGCTTCTGCACCAAACGCCTGCAGAGAAGCAACTTTCTGATAGTCAGTAGTCCGCATAAAACCGACTTACGTCCTAGAAGTTTTCACTCTAGTTTTTTTTGGCAAAAGCCGAATGTCTGCCTACCTGTTTCCAAAGTACGGTTCGACTTGCTTTCCTTTTTATTTCTCTCCCCGTCAGCTGCTAAGCAGTAATATGGGAAATCTGATTTTCTTTTTTTAGTCTACTTTCCTACATTGCCTAAGAAGTAACTCCGAGGCCAGGCGCGGTGGCTCACGCCTGTAATCCCGGCACTTTGGGAAGCCAAGGCGGGCAGATCACCTGAGGTCGAGCATTTGAGACCAGCCTGAAAACATGGAGAAACGCCATCTCTACTAAAAATACAAAATTAGCCAGGCGTGGTGCTGCATGCCTGTAATCCCAGCTACTCAGGAGGCTGAGGCAGGAGAATCACTTGAACCCGGGAGGTGGAGGTTGTGGTGAGCCGAGATCGTGCCAATGCACTCCAGCCTGGGCAACAAGAGCAAGACTCCATCACAGAAATAAATAAATAAATAAATAAATTTAAAAAACTAACTCTCATAGCTGTGGAGATTGGGAGGGCCAAACTTCATACATCTGTGAGCTGCTATCTGCCTACAGGCCTCAGCTTCTATTCGCCTCTGTACCAGAAAAAGATCTCAGTGGCCAGGGTCCCGGCATGTGCTGGGGGCCGAACACTGCTCACCCGGAGGTAGGTGGTAGCTGGAGTGTAGACCTCGATCTTGCCTTCCCTGGTGGAGCCCTGACTCCTGCAGTCCACATTGACCACCAGGCCCTTTAGGGTCCAGGCCTTGCCCAGCGTCAGCTCCAGGACAGCTTGGAACACAGCTCGGTGTGGCCAGTACAACCTGTGAGCTGCAGAGACCATCAGCCACGGACTATCCAGGTTCAAGGCTCCTATAAGAGACAGAGAAAGGAGAGCCTGGTATTCAGGTTGGAGAGGAAGCTTCTAGCAGGCAGCAAGAGGTCCCCAGAGTCTCATCACAGCCGCGATGGGAAAATCTCAAAATTGGGAATGACTAGGCATGAGGAAACTTTCTAGGACGTTGGCAATGCTGTGACTCATGACAGGGGTTTGGAAAAAACAGGAGTATCCATCTGTCAAAATTCATCCAATCCGACCCTGGAGATGTATGCATTTCACTCTGCTTAATGAAACACATGCTGAAATGTTGAGGGTGAAATGTATCAATGTCTACAACTTACTTTGAACTGCATGGAAAAAAAATAGGGCTGGATAGGTGGAGAGAGAGGTGATGAATCAAGCGAGGTAAACTGTTTTTTTTTTTGTTTGTGTTTTTTTTTTTTTTTTTTTAGACGCGGTGTTACTCATTTTTCCCCCGCTGGGGAGTGAAAGGCGCGATCTCAGCTCACCGCAACCTCCGCCTCCCTGGTTCAGGCAATTCTCCTGCCTCAGCCTCCTGAGTACCTGGGATTACAGGCATGCACCACCATGCCCAGCTAATTTTTTGTATTTTAGTACAGACGGGGTTTCACCATGTTGACCAGGATGGTCTCGATCTCTTGACCTCGTGATCCACCCGCCTCAGCCTCCCAAAGTGCTGGGATTACAGGCTTGAGCCACCGCACCCGGCCGAGGTAAACTGTTAATAGCAGAACCTAGTATGAGAGGATGCTGCTGATCACTGTCCATCCATCCAACTCCTCTGAAGGTTTGCAACTTTTTCATAATAAAACATTGGACGGCTGGGAGCAGTGGCTCATGCCTGTAATCCCAGCATTTTGGGAGGCCAAGGAGGGAGGATCATTTGACTCTGGGAGTTTGAGACCAGCCTGGACAACGAAATGAGACCCTATAACTACAAAAAAATACAAAAATTAGCCAGGCACGGTGGTGCTGGCCTATATTCCCAGCTACCTGGGAGGCTGAGATGGAGGCTGAAGTGGCCGTGATGTGCCACTGCATTCCAGCTTGGGCAGGAGAAGGAGACCCTGTCTCAAAATAAAGAAACAAAAAGAAAACAGAGGTAGAAATGCTGAGGCCTGTGAAGAAAAATAATAAAGAAGGAATTTGATAAAAATGGCAGAGGTCAGCAAACACTTCTAGGAGGAAGTGACAATTTACCTGATACCTAAATGAAAGACAAGGGGGAGCTGATCAAAGGGGCAGGCCACCCACCCCTGCTCAGATGTAGAGACAATGACACAGTGAGGGGAGGGAAGTGGCGCTGAGTTGAGAACAGGGAGACGCTGAAGAGTGGGCATCCTGGTCCCTGCCCAGCTGCTCCTGTCCCACAGGAAATGGGAAGATGGCACCACAGAAGAACAGAAGGCAGGCATGGATCCCTGGAGAGCCAGGTTGACTGGCTCAATTGCTTGACTGACAAGGAAGCCCACTAATCAGAACATGCTCCCACTTATACATAGCACCTCTTCCCAAACACGTTTAGAGTCTCCAATTAGTTTTCTATTTTATTCATGTTTCCTGCATGGTGATGACGATCTCATTTCACTTTATAGATCACAGTTGGGACCTGGCAAACTCAGGCCCTCCAGAACATCTGTCTGGTTGCTCCATTTTGTTTTGTTTTGTTTTTGCTTCTGAGGTCACGGTCATTCATTTTCATCTCATTACACTGGGCTGGGCCAAGAGTCACCCACTAGTGTATAGATTATGTTATTCTGTTGCTTTCAGACAGAATTGGGATCCAGGTTCTAATTGTCTCCCAAGTTCAACATCTGGATCTGAATCAGAAGAGAGCGGCCACTGTTTCGGGAGGCTGGGGGGCCGCGGGAGGCTGGGGGCTGCTGGGGGAAAGGCATGAAACAGGCCTAGAACTGACCACACAGGGTTCATGATCCAGGGTTCCCCTCTGGGTACCCAAGGATCCTGCACACAGTGAATGGGTCGGGGAGCCCACAGCGGCCCCTCAAAGTCAATGGGGATGGCGCAGGCCTGTGTTGGACCTTCGGAGCTGGAAGGACAACTGCGTCTGCACAGACAGGACATGAAGACGTGCTCTCCTTCCTTCTGTATCCGAGAATCCTATGCAGGGCCCTTCCATGAGGACAGGGCCAGGGCTGGCTCGTGGGCCTCTGGGTGGCCTCATGGCTCATCCAGTAAAAGTCCTGCAAACTTGTCACCATCTGGGGACATTCCTGCCAGTTCTTCTCTATGCTCTTCTCCGTGAGACACTGGGCAACTGCTTTAGGCTGTTCATGATTCTTCTACGTCAACTCTGCAAACTCAGGAGATGTCTAATCTTTTAGGAAGCTTTGGATCTCCAGTTACGCCAAAGGCAAATTAACTGGTCTGATGATTTTTCTGGTTTCTCTCTCCGTCTTTACTTCCTGAGGACTTCCAGTCATTTTAGTCAGGTGTCTCACTTTCTCCGCTTTTATTCCTGAGTTTTCTTCTGGGATCTTTTTAACGGCAGCCTTAGGGCCTAATCCTAGGTTGGCACAGAACTAGCGCTCACTCTGTCCTAAGGGGATCCCGGAGGGTCGAGAGGTGCCCAAGTGTGGAAATGCGTTCTCTCCTCTGTGTTTCGGCAGGTCTCCTACTCTAAGTTTTAGAAAAGGATTTTAAGGAGAATGGATTTTTTTAAACAAACTTTTAAATCTATGTTCCAGAATATGAGATCCCTAACTTTGCAAAATTGCTGGTTTGAATTAAGTCCTCAGGCAGCTTCTGAGTATACTCAAAACGTAATTACCCTGTCTGAAAACAGCAGCCAACTCAAACATAAGCACGTATCCAAGGCTGGCTTAGCATCTAGGGGAAAGTCTCTAACAGGAAATATAGAAATAAAAAGAAAAAAGAAACTCGAAACAGATAAAACTCCCTAAAATTCTATAACTTATACTCTAAGAGAAGACAACTGCATTCATGAAACAGGATTCTGTAAGAAAGGAAACGAAAAAAAAGAGCTCTTGAGGCCAGGTGTGGTGGCTCACGCCTGTAATCCCAGCACTTTGGGAGGCTGAGGTGGATGGATCATGAGGTCAGGAGTTCGACACCAGCCTGACCAACATGGTGAAACCCCCTCTCTATTAAAAATACAAAAATTAGCTGGGTGTGGTGGTGGGTGCCTGTAATCCCAGCTACTCAGGAGGCCGAGGCAGGAGAATCACTTGAACCCAGAAGGCAGAGGTTGCAGTGAGCCGAGATCGCACCACTGCACTCCAGCCTGGGTGACAGAGTGACAACACATCTCAATAAATAAATAAATAAATAAGGAGCTCCTGAAAATATAAGATAATCCAAAATAAAAATGCCAGCAGAAGGGCTGGCATATGAAGTCGAGGAAATTGGCACAGAAGGACAAAGAAATAGAACAAAAGAGAAACAAGGAGGCCGGGTGTGGTGGTCATACCTCTAATCCCAGCACTTTGGGTGGGAGAGGCAGGAGGATCGCTTGAGCCCAGGAGTTTGAGACCTGCCTGCACAACATACTGAGGCCTCATTCTCCAAAAGATAAAAAGAAAAAAGACAAAAAGGACAAGTTTGAAAAGAGAAACAAAGAGAACATTAGAGGCTCAGTTTCTGAGGAGCAACATCTAACCAATAGGAATTTCAGAGCAAAGGGAGGAAGGAAATTATTCAAGAAACTGTATGAGAAAATTACCCAGACACAAATGACATGTTTCCTAATGAAAAAGCCCAGTACTAAGGACCTAGTACAATGGAGGAACATAGGTCCATACCAACGTACCTCGTAATGAGATTTAACACCACTAGGACTAAGATGAGCTCCTAAAACTTCTAAGACCGTGAGAAAAGGGTCACAAACAAAAGATGATGGGTCAGAAAGAACATCAGATCTCCAAATTAATTCACAACAATGGAGCAATGCCTTCAAAATCCCCAGGGAAAATTACAGGTATTGATCGACTTACGACCTATGCAACTTACGACCACTCGACTTTACGACCACAATCGCTAGCCACGACTGCTCCGCGTCTGGCAGCACAAACGTTGCCCAGCTGGGCATACAACAGTGCGGACCAGCTTCCGGCAGCACTACCATCTCCGTGTGCACCATTTCAACTGTACATATAGCCTACTCAACTTACAACCAAATCGTGTTACGACCGGTCTGCCAGTCCCAATCGTGGTCGTAAGTCGAGCACTAGCTGTATTTCCAACTTAAAATTCTGACTCATTCAAGCTGCCCCAGTAGAATGAAGACATTTTAAATATTTAGGGTCTCAAATGTTTGCATTCTGTTATGGGTTAAATTATGTTCCCCCAAAAGATCAACTGAAGTCTTAATCCCCAATACCTCCCAATTAACTGGAAATCGGGTCTGCAGATACCATAAGTCAGGATGAGGTCATACTCGAAAAGGACAGGCCCTTATACAATATAACTGATGCCTGTATTAGAAACGGAAAATTCAGACACAGACACACACACAGGGAGAATGTTATGTGACAAAATAGGCAGAGATTAGGGAGGATGTGGTTGTAATCCAAGGGACACCAAGCATCAACATCCATCACCAAACGCTTGGAAGAGGCAAGGGAGGGTTCTCCCCAGAGCCTCAGAGGGAACAGGGCCCTGGTGGCTCCTTGACTCAAACTTACAGCCTTCAGAACTGTGGAAAAACACATTCTGTTGTTTTAAGGTAACCAGTGTAGTAATTAATTACAGAAGCGCTTGGAAATGAACACACACCCCATGTATACTTTCTCTGAAAGCTACTGAAAGATGTACTCCATCAAGACAAAGCAATAAACAGAGAGAGATGACACGGGTTTAAGCGAAAGGGGTTTGACCCAGAGGAGAAGTGAAAGAAATTTCCACGTTGATGAAAAAGGGAGGCTGCAGAACCATAGCTGTGTAACTGGTCTACTTTGGAGCAGGACACAGGCTCTAGGAAGAGGGTCCCCAAGAAAAATATCAGAACTAATTGAAGTCAATGAGCAATATGATGTGTCTGACTATCCGGAAAAGAGTTTTGCAATGCTGCTGAAAATTCTCGGAGTAATTAGTAGGCAAAAATGCTAGAAAATTAATCAAATAGAAAAAGAAAGGCAATTATAAACTCCAGAAAAAACAAAAAGTCGTCATCATAGTACACCATATATCTCAGCTGTTTAAGACATTTATAGTTATAATTGGGTAAGCATAGAATGTTAACAAAACATAACTCTTTTAAGAAAATGGAGGGAAATATGTATTTGAAAGGGGCACCAGTCTAAGAGTTAAATTCTTATCCTCACTAGTAAGAAACCTGTGGAGAATGACTAAAGCTGAAAAATCAAGAAACAACAGCATGATTATATTATTTTAAAAGATAGAGAATATAAACAGTAAAAATGGCCAAAAGGATTTACAGTGCTTGCTGTTTTAAGCAAGGCTTGGGGTAGGGGCCAGGCACAATGGCTCATGCCTGTAATCCCAGCACTCTGGGAGGCCAAAGCAGGTGGATCACTTGAGCTCAGGAGTTCAAGACCAGCCTGGCCAACATAGTGAAACCCCATATCCACTAAAAACACAAAACTTAGCCAGGTATGGTGTCACACACCTATAATTCCAGCTACTCAGGAGGCTGAGGCACAAGAATAGCTTGAGACTTGGATGCAGAGGTTGCAGTGAGCCGACATTGTGCCACTGCACTCCAGCCTGGGCAACAGAGTAAGACACTGTATAAAAAAAAACCACACACACAAGGTAGTTTAAGTCCATACAAGAGCAGAGAGCATAATAAGATGAGCCCCCATGTAACACGGAGGGACCAAGCTCCAACAATGAGAAACTCACAGTCGAATTCACTTTTAAACTAGGTATCACTTCAGTAAAAATAAAAATTGAAAAAATGAATTCCTGAATAAACTATGGTGGATTTTGTTTGTTTTGGTTTTGGGGTTTTTGCTTTTTTGAGACAAAATTTCACTCTTGTTGCCCAGGCTCCAGTGCAGTGTTGTGATCTCAACTCAGGGCAACATTCACCTCCCAAGTTCAAGCAATTCTCCTGCCTAAGCCTCCTAAGTACCTGGGATTACAGATGCCCACCACCACACAAGGCATATTTTTGTATTTTTAGTAGAGACAGGCGTTTCACCATGTTGGCCAGGCTGGTCTCAAACTGCTGACCTCAAGTAATCTGCGCACATCAGCCTCCCAAAGTGCTGGTATTACAGGTGTGAGCCACATCATCCAGGCAGGTGGATCCAGTTTTAAAAAGTGAGGGACAGTGTTTTCCAGACACAAAGATCCCTAAATGCAAAGGCATTGGGGTATGTCTGGAGAAGAAAAACAGGTCTTGAAGGCTGCAGGATAACGAGCAATGGGGAGAGTGGGGTTGGACAAGGATGGAGCAGAAGGCAACCTGATGCTTGACTGGCCAGGGTAAGAAGTTAGGATGTAATGATAAGCATCATGGGACTCATTAAAGATGTGAGTTTTTGTTTGTTTGCTTTTAAAATTAAGAGAGGGTCCTACTATGTTGCCCAGGCTGATCTCAGACTCCTGGCCCCGAGGAGGCCTCCCACAGTACTGGGATGACAGGCGTGAGCCACCGTGTCTGGCCCCATTTGAGTGTTGAGTTAGGCTAGCAAATAAAAGGAAAAGGTGTTCTAGGGAAAAGGTACAGCTTCAACAAAGGCCTGGGGGTCAGAAATCTGAGCTGCTGGCCAAGGAGGCCCCACAGCGCACACTCACCTTCCCATTTCCACAGGGTGGTCCGAGATGTGTCCTTCCACTGCCCGCCTGCCACAAACAGTGGCCGCCTGTTGTACTGCACCTTCAGGTGACTGCTGCTCTCCATGTGCGGCAGGCGGAGGCTTGAGTGGTACAGCTGCACGCGGCAATCCACCTGCCTCTCGGGCACCTGCAGCACAAACTGGAGAATACCCACCCCCAGGACGTCAATGAGATCATGCCACCCCCAGCCTTGATCGTGCCTGGGATGTCGAGGAAGCAGTGAGCCGAGACTGCAACACCGCACTCCACATGGCCAACGGGAGTGGAACCTAACCCAGGCTCAAAAAACAGAAAACAACAAGTGTAGGTAACGATGTGGAAAAATCTGAATTTTCACATGATGATGGTGGGAATGTAAAATAGCGCAGCTAGATCTCAAAAAACTAAAGATCGGGGCCGGGCGCGGTGGCTCAAGCCTGTAATCCCAGCACTGTGGGAGGCCGAGGCGGGTGGATCATGAGGTCAAGAGATCGAGACCATCCTGGTCAACATGGTGAAACCCCGTCTCTACTAAAAATACAAAAAATTAGCTGGGCATGGTGGTGCGTGCCTGTAATCCCAGCGACTCAGGAGGCTGAGGCAGGAGAATTGCCCGAACCCAGGAGGTGGAGGTTGCGGTGAGCCGAGATCGCGCCATTGCACTCCAGCCTGGGTAACAAGAGCGAAACTCTGTCTCAAAAAAAAAAAAAAACAAAAAAAAAAAACTAAAGATCGAATTACCTTAAGACCCAGCAATGACACTTCTAGGTATATATCCAAAGGACTGAAAGCAATTGAAAAATTTGAAAGCATCAGATATTTGCATGCCCATGTTTATAACAGCATTTACTCATAATAGCCAAAATCGACAGATGGATGGATAAACAAAGTGCTGTCTATACAGACAAGGGAATACTATTCAGCCTTAAAACGAAAGGAAATTCTGGCCGGGCACAGTGGCTCATGACTATAATCCCAGCACTTTGGGAGGCTGAAGCGGGTGGATCACAAGGTCAGGAGTTCCAGACCAGACTGGTCAACACGGTGAAACTCCACCCTACTAAAAATACAAAAATTAGCTGGGTGTGGTGATGGGTGCCTGTAATCCCAGCTACTGGGGAGGCTGAGGCAGGAGAATTGCTTGAACCTGGGAGGTGGAGGTTGCAGCAAGCCAAGATCATGCCAGTGCACTCCAGACTGGGTGACAGAGCAAGACTCCATCTAGGGAAAAAAAAAAAAAAACGCTGAGGGAAGGAAATTCTGACACATGCTACCATATACATGAACCTGAGGACATGCTAAGTGAAAAAAGCCAGTCAAAAAAAGGACAGGCCGGTGTGGCGGCGCACACCTATAATCCCAGCACTTCGGGAGGCTGAGGCAGGCAGACCACTTAAGGTCAGGAGTTTGAGACCAGGCTGCTCAACATGGTGAAACCCTGTCTCTTCTAAAAATACAAAAAATCAGCAGGGTGTGTTGGCACACAGTTAAAATCCCAGCTACTTGGAAGGCTGAGGCAGGAGAAACGCTTGAACCCACGAGGCGGAGGTCATGGTGAACCAAAACCGTGCCACTGCACTCCAGTGTGGGCAACAAGAGCGAAACTCCGTGTCAAAAAAAAGAAAAACAAGGACAAATAGTGTATGATTCCATTTCTATGTGGTACCTGGAGTAGTCAAAAGCCCAAAACATAAAGAATGGTGGCTGCCGGGGACTGGGGGCAGGAGCGAATGGGAAGTCAGCATTTAATGGGTTCAGACTTGCAGTTTTGCAGGTTCTGGACATGAACAGTGGTGATGGCTGTGGAAGAATCTAAACGCAGGTAATGCCGCTAAACTTAACAATGGTTTAAACGGCACATTTTACACAACGTATATTTAAGCACAATTCAAAGTTAATTTAGAACACCATTTGCAGTTGGGCACGGTGGCTCACACTGTAATCCCAGCAATTTGGGAGGCTGAGGCGGGCGGATCACGAGGTCAAGAGTTCAAGACCATCCTGGCCAACATGGTGAAACCCCATCTCGACTAAAAATACAAAAATTACCCAGGTGTGGTGGCATGTGTCTGTAGTCCCACCTACTTGGGAGGCTGAGGCAGGAGAATTGCTTGAACCCAGATGGTAGAGGTTGCAGTGAGCCGAGATCGTGTCACTGCACTCCAGCCTGATGACAGAGCAAGACTCCATCTCAAAACAAAACAAAAAAAAAGACCATTTGCAGGACTGGAGGTGAAAAGGGAAAAAAAATGTGCAAGGTTAAATGTGTGCTGTAGAAGAACCACCTGTTCAGCTGCTGAGCACACCATTCCTAACTCAGCAAAAGAACCCACCCGCTGGGAAAACCTAAAAGCGAACTGCTGTTGCCAAAATGCATTTTGACGGCTGGAAATCTGTGTTTCCCAAGCCCTCCTTCCAGTCCTTGGCACTGTGACGAGCGTTTCTCACCCCTGGGGACATGGGACTGGAGATGCAAAAGGGAAAGTCACCAAGGCTGAGTTTCAGCTGCCTGCATCCTTGCAGCCAGGGCCAGAGGGCCATAAGGGGTTCCCTAGCTCCCACCGTCCATGCTGGACTCACAGGGCACGGCTCTGCTGCAGTGGCCGGGCTCACCTCCACGAAGTGATTGCTCAGGGCGGGCCCCGAGTCATTCTTGAAGGTCTGGCTGACACGGAGAAGCCTCTTGTTGCCGCTGTCATCCCAGTGCTTCCCATAGCTCACCTCCAGCTGTGAGTGCAGGTGGCCCGAGTCCTCCTCGTGCCAGAGCTGGACCTGAGACACACACGAGCGGTGAACTGTCCCCGGGCCCCCTCACAGCCACCCACTCCAGGAACATCAGTTTGGTTTCCTGAGGAGACGGTTCTGTAGAAAGCACTATTTTGTAGTTGTTGCCTGTTCATTTGTTTGTTTTGAGACGGAGTCTCGCTCTGTCACCCAGGCTGAAGGGCAGTGAGATGATCTCGGCTCAATGCAACCTCCGCCTCCCCAGTTCAAGTGATTCTCCTGCCTAAGCCTCCTGAGTAGCTGGGATTACAGGCATCCGCCACTACACCTGGCTAATTTTTGTATTTTTAGTAGGATGGAGTTTCACCATGTTGGCCAGGCTGGTCTGGAACTCCTGACCTCGTGATCTGCCTGCCTCAGCCTCTCAAAGTGCTGGGATTACAGGCATAATCAACTGTGCCTGGCCTTGGTTTGTTTTGTGTTTTTAAATTTATTATTTGTTTATTTTAGAGACAAGATGTCACTCTGTTGCCCAGGCTGCAGTACAGTGACACCATCTTGGCTCACTGCAGCCTCTGCCCCCTGGCCTCAAGCAAGCCTGGGTGAACAGACATAAGACAGGCTGAAGTGCCAGCCCTGGATCCATTCCCATGTGGCTATGCTATTGGGAGAAAGTTCTTCTCTTTGGGGATGAGCTCAGGGTACTCAGATCACCACTTGCCCGACTCTGGTGCTCTCTCTGGACGTCCCACCTGGCCTGGGCACCCACCTTGTGGCTGAAGGCCGGGATCTGTGTGCAGTGGAACTCGTGGCCCAGCTCCAGCCTGTAGGTGCCGTCTGAGCCGCTCTCTGTCTGCAGCTTCTGGCTGGTGCTGCACTGGTGCGCTGGCTGCTTTGCCTGAGCTGTGAGGATTGATCAAGGGACCCCTGCCCTCCTCTGCCAGGTAGCCCTCCACCAGGGCTCCAAGAAGAGGAGGGTCCAGCCCAGCCTGGCCTCAGCCGTGTCCCCCCGGCCCTGTGCTCTGCTTCACCTGTCACTCCATTAGAACCTGTCCATGGGGAGGTGTTAAGAGATGGATGAATGTCCCCTCAACAGACACACCTTTTGTTTAATGAGCAGGTACTAAGTCCTACTCAGAGCCCACAGAATGACTAATGGAAAATCCTGTGGTGACAGCATATCTTAGCTGACAGAGCCACAGCCGCAGGAAACAGGGCAGGCCCTCCCACCTCCACCTGCCCCGCAGCCAGGCACGCGGTGCCTTACCCAGGAGGCTGTACTGGATCCTCAGGGAGTTGGTCCAGAGCCGGCCCCGCTGCTGCAGCAGGCCAAGGGCACGCAGCCCCGCCAGCCCTGGCACAAAGACCTCGGCACCCAGGGCGGCCACCCACCGTCCATCTTCCTCCTTCCTTTCCAGCATTGCTGCAGGGACAGAGAGCAGACAGGTGAAAGGGTCAGCCCCCAGGGACCAACACCCCCAACCCCAGGCAAAGAGGGGACTCAGGATACCACAGGGGCCTTAGGGTTGGGGGCTCCTTGAAGGCCCAACACCTGTGCCCTGCACAGCAGGCCACAGACAGGCCTAATCACGGCTCACTGCAGCCTTGACCTCCCAGGCTCAATCCATTCTCCTACCTCAGCCTCCCAAGTAGCTGAAACTACAGACATGTGCCACCACACTTGGCTAATCTTTGTATTTTTTTGTAGAAGTGGGGGTCTCCCTCTGTTACCCAGGCTAGTCTTGAACTCCTGGTCCCAAACAATCCTCCCACCTTGGCTTCCCGAAGTGCTGGGATTATAGGCGTGGGACACCGTGCCTGGCCCAAAACTAAGTAGAATGAAACCAACTGAATAGGACAGAAGATAAAGAATTAACAGAGCATCGTGGGATGTCGGATAAATTTCACCCTCTGAGGCTTCTGCTTCTGCGACACTGAAGGTCATCCAGAACACACAGGTGGAACTGGGCCAGCTGTTACGACTCCCGGACACCCACATGAGGTGTCAACAGCCACTGCTCCAGGTGCCCTCAGCCCCAGCTCCTGTCCTTACCTTGGAATCTTCCAGAACCCATAAGCAGCACACCCAGGTGTCACCACCCCGGCTCTGGCACAGGGGCAGCACCTGCTCAGCCTGTGTGTGTTTTAAATGCCCTGTGTATTTTAGGTCAAAATGTTACATGTGTTTCTTACCGTGGGTGAGAATAAAAACAGCCCAAAAGCTGCTATTTTAAGGTTTGTTGGGGCAGGTGGAGGTTCGGGGAGGTTCTGGGGGCTCACACTGAGCCCGCGTCTGTCCTTAGATGGGATGTTGATATTGAGAGGCTGGGGTGATGACGGCCATCAGGAGGCATTTGGCCCACACCCTAGCCTGGCCACAGAGGAGATGGGGCACAAGGGGTCTCATCTCCTACCTGTCACGTGGGCCGGGTCACTCAGCAGATGGCTCAGCAATGCAGAGAAGGCCAGCTTGCTGCCCGCCTGCCACGTGAGGTTCCCTGTAAAGACGATGGGGCTGCCCCCTGTCACCAGCTTCACCTCCAGCTGTGCCTGGAACCTCTCCGCCTCGCTGCCTATGGGTGGCTGCAGGTCACTCCAGCCCTGAAAAGGCCTCAGTGTCACCTGGGAGGACAGGCTTGGCCAGCAAGCCCAGCCATGATCACACAAGCTGGGACCAGAGAGTGGGCAGGAGACAGCCCAGCCAACAGCTTTCTGTGCTGATCCTTCCCCAGTTTTTTATTTTTCTTGAGACAGAGTCTCACTCTGTCACCCAGGCTGGAGTGCAGTGGCGGGATCCTGGTTCACTGCAACCTTCGTCTCCTGGGTTCAAGTGATTCTCCTGCCTCAGCCTCCCAATAAGCCGGGATGACAGGTACACACCACAGTGCCCAGCTAATTTTTGTATTTTTAGTAGAGATGGGGGTTTCACCATTTTGGCGAGGCTGGTCTCAAATTCCTGAGCCCAAGTGATCCGCCCACCTTGGCCTCCCAAAGTGTTGGGATTACAGGTGTGAACCACTACATCCAGCCCTTCCCCAATTTTTTAAACTTCGGATTTCTCAAAATTAGAAACCTGTGTTACAAACTCATACATAAATACAAAGGACTCCTCTTCTCTCCTTGACGACCCCTTCGTTGGAGCCATGAGGAACTCAGTCGACCATCACTATGGAATGTGATTAGAATCAACCCCATCTGCCACCTCCGCTGCGCCCCAGCTCCGGCCCTGGTCATCACACATCTCACTGCAACATCCTCCTGGTCAGTGCACCCAAAAGATATCAAAACAATACTCGCTATTACCAGACCGTCACTACTTAATGCTGTGTTTCCCTGATCCCCACCGACGTGTGTGCAGATGTATTTGTGCGAATGTGTGTGCATCTGTGTACAGATGTATCTGTACATGGATGTGTGTAGATGTGTATATATACAGAAATGTGGAAATACAGATAGGTGTGTATGAATACGTGGATATGGATGTGTGTATACAGTGGTGTGTGTATACAAGGATGTGTCTATATGTAGACGTGTGTATACAGACGTGTGTGGATGTGTGTAAAGGTGTGTATATATATGGATGCGTGTATATGAATGTATGTGTACAGATATGTCTACATGTGGATGTAGACGCTCGCAGCTCTTCCTGCTGACAGGCACATCCTAGCACTGGCTCTCTCCAGTGTGCATCCGAGGCTGCGTGGTGGAGTCAGAGCTTCCTCAGGGTGCACATGAACAGGGTGAGCACAGAATTTCTCTCCCAAACCACACTTTGCAGTTAAAGAGAACATTAGTCACAAACGAGTCAGGTCAGCAGGCGTAACCTAGGGCTCTCCAGGCAACCCAGGACCCAAGCCCCACACACCAGGGCAGGGGGTGCCGCACAGAATACTTCCCACATCAACCTTAAATCCCACATGCTTTGAGACAAGTTGAACCCAAGCTCTGGCACTTTGCATTCATGAGCTCATCTGCCTCAGTTTCCTCATCTCGTATGAGGTTACAGACAGGATTTGAAGCAGAGGTTTCATGTCTGCTGGAACAGGCTCCAGAAAGTTCCGGAGCTCCGGCTGTTACTGTAATTGATGAGTCTGGGGCAGATGGAACTAGAATTTCTCCAAAGGCAAATAAACATTTCCAGGCTTCAGAGAGCTCTATAGGGAGCGGCAGGAAGGTCCGAGACAAGGTACAGGCAATCTGTGCTTGCACAGTTAGAAAATAATGAGATGTTCAAGGGCCCCTGGGAGTTCTGGAAATGAGGCAGAAGTCTCAGCTGTCAGGCAGGTGGGGCTTTAGGAGGAAGATGGCTCTCCCCTGACATGGGTCTTCTCCCCACCCAGGCTGACGGCACAGGTGGCAATGGAGAGTGTATTTATGCAGAAAGACATCTAGCCCCGGCTTCAGATGCTCCACTCCAGGCCTCTGAGAAGACACCGGAAACTGAGGCAGAATCGGGTGATCCACTGCTCAATGTGGCCAGTGGTCAAGCCTGGCAGGATCAAGTCTAAAGTTGCTATTTGTACCCTGGCTGGAGTGCAGTGGCGCGATCTCAACTCACTGCAACCTCCACCTTCCAGATTCAAGCAATTTTCCTGCCTCAGCCTCCTGAGAAGCTGGGCCTACAGGCGTGCACCATCACGCCCAGGTAAGTTTTGTATTTTTAGTAGAGACAGGGTTTCACCTTCTTGGCCAGGCTGGTCCCAAATTCCTGACTTCATGTGATCCTCCCACCTCGCCTCCCAACATGCGTATACTTTTTGAAGTCACCGATCTGCTTGAAAAGGGGATGGAAGTTTTAAATCTTCTCCCCAACATGGAGGATACCGATACAAAACTTCAACAGAATGACAAGGGCTTCAAGTGACTAAGTTCCATCCAGGTACCCTTGGGTAAGATCCCTTTAAAAGCACCTACTAAGATGAAAATGAGCCTGGACAACATAGTAAGACCCATCTCCACACACACACACACACACAAAAGAAAAGAAGAAAAAAAGCAGGAAGGCATGGTGACCCAGGCCATGGTCCCAGCTACCTGGGAGGCTGAAGCAGGAGGATCGCTTGAGGCCAGGGGTTCGAGGCTGCAGTGAGCTAGGATCATGCCATTGCACAGAAAACCTTGTAAAAGAAAGAGAAAAGCGGGGGAGACAGAAAAGCCGGGGGGAAGAGGGGGGAAAGGGAGGGAAAGAGGGAGGAAGAGGAAAAGAGGGACTAGAGGGAGGGAGAGAAAGGAAAGAAAAAAGGAAGGAAAGAGGGAAGAAATAAGAAAAACATACAAACCCTGTGGCCAGGGAATTCCACTGTTAAGAATTTACTCTGCAGAGAGAATGGTGTTCACCGCAGAATAACTGTAAGAGAGGAAACCTGGGAAAAACCCAAGAGCCCTTCATTATTAGCCTAGCTGAAAACATTCCATTCCATGGACTATTACGTGGTCATCGGCACTACACGGGAGACGCTGATTTTTTAGGTGGATACATTAACTCCACGTGCTGACTGTGTGCATCGATCATCTCGGAAAAGAATCACCAAAGAAACCCTAACAGTGGTTGGCTTTCCAGAGGGGTGGGAGGGCGGCTTTAAGGCTGCACCAGCACCAACCAATAGAACTTTTTGCAATGAAGACCGTGTTTCCCGGCCACCTGCAGCTGTGGAGCACCTGAAATGTGGCCCACTCAGCCAAAGAACCAAATCCTTCATTTTCTGTAATGTTAATTCATTTAGATTTTTTTTTTTTCTTATTTGAGATGGAGTCTCGCTCCGTTGTCCAGGCTGGAGTGAAGCTGTGTGATCTTGGCTGACCGCAACCTCTGTCCCCCAGGGTCAAGCAGTTCTCCTGCCTCAGCTTCCCAAGCAGACGGGGTTACAGGGGCTCACCACCACATCTGGCTACTTTTTGTGTTTTTAGTAGAGATGGGGTTTCACCAGGTTGGTCAGGCTGCTCTCAAACTCCTGACCTCAGGTAAGCCACCTGACTCGGCCTCCCAAAGTGCTGGGATTATAGGTGTAAGCCGCTATACCCGGCCTCACTTAGATTTCAATGAACGCATATGCCACTGGCTGCCAATCAGGACACTCAGTTCTATGCTCTTTCATAGCTTTTGAACTTTGAATCATTTAAATGCATTGCCTGTTTTTTTAATTGTAGAACTTAATAGAATAGTATTTAGATTGAATTAACCTAAATGAAATCTACAATAGAATCTAAATTGTACCAGTGTGTGCTTGTATAAAAAGATTCCCAAGGGGGTGGGGGTGTGTGTGTGTGTGTTTATGTATTTTTTTTTTTTTTCTTTTGAGTTGGAGTCTCACTCCACTGCCACCCACTCTGGAGTGCAGTAGTATGAACTTGGTCACTCAACCTCTGCCTCCAGGGTTCAAGTGGTTCTCCTGCCTCAGTTTCCCGAGTCACTGGGATTACAGGCACACACCACCACACCCAGTTCATTTTTGTACTTTTAGTAGAGAAGGCATTATACCATGTTGGCCAGGCTGGTCTTGAACTCCACCTCAAGTGATCCACCCGCCTCGTCCTCCCAAAGTGCTGGGATTATAGGCATGAGCCAGCATGCCCAGCCGCAAAGGTGTATTTTTGAGTAAAAAGAGCAAGGTACAAACAAAAAATAGGGAACAGCTGGGGGGGGTGGCTCATGCCTGTAATCCTAGCACTTTGGGAGGCTGAGGTGGGAAGATTGCTGGAGCCCAGGAGGTCGAGGCTGCAGCGAGCCATGTTTGCACCACTGCCCTCCAGCCTGAGTAACGGAGCAAGACCCTGCCTCAAGAAAAATTAAAATTAAGATTAAAAAACCAAAACCTAAGCATGACGATTGGGTTTCATGCTATTGTATGATATGTGCCCCCCTCAAAACTTGTTACGATATCATCACATCACCCATCTGATGCGAAAAAGAAAAAATAAAACCCAGGAACTCAAACTAAAACTATTTGCAAATCTATAGCGTTATGCGTTGTCCTGTGTCTCCCCGAAAGACGCTGAAGCCCTGCGCCGCAGGGTCTGTGGATGCGACCTTATTTGGAAATAGGCTCTTCACATGTGATCAAGCTAAGCTGAGGTGATGAGGGTGAATCCTCATCCTGTGTGCCTGGTGTCCTTATAGAAAGGGGTTGTGTGGACAAAGACACCTACAAAGGGAAGACAATGTCAAGACAGAGACAGAAGACCACCTACAAGCCAAGGAACTCTGGAGGCTCCGAGAATCCAGGAGCGAGACCTGGGACAGACCCTCCCTCACAGCTTTCACAGGAAAAACAAACAAACAATCAAAAACCCCTTGATTTCAGACTCCTGGCCTCCACAACTGTGAGAATAAACCTCTGTGGTTGAAGCCACACAGTTTAGGTACTTTGTTAAGGCAGCGCTGGGAAATGAATGCACATTTCTTGGGGCCTGCATCAATACTTCTGAAGAAAATTTGGGATGTGGCATGCTTGAACTTTCAACTCATACCTTTCTCTACTCTGAATTCTTTGAGAGACAGGGTCTCACTCTGTCACCAGGCTGGAGTGCAGTGGCACAAGCATGGCTCACTACAGCCTCCACCTCCTGGGCTCCGGCAATCCTCTTGCCTCAGCCTCCTGAGTTGCTGAGACTACAGGCACAGGCCACTCTGCCTGGCTAATTTTTTTTTAAATGTTTTGTAGAGACGGGGTCTTGCTATGTTGCCCAGGTTTATCTTGAATGCCTAGCCTCAAGGGATCCTCCCACCTTAGCCTCCCAAAGTTCTGGGATTACGGGTGTAAGCCATCATGACCAGCCGGCTTGCTTTTTTTTGTTGTTGAGATGGAATCTCGCTGTATTGCCCAGGTTGGAGTGCGGTGGCACAATCTCAGCTCACTGAAACCTCCCACCTCCTAGGTTCAAGCGATTCTGCCTCAGCCTCCCGAGTAGCTCGGATTATAGGCACCCACCACCACACCCAGCTAATTTTTTTATTTTTATTACAGGCAGGGTTTCACCATTAGGCCAGGCTGGTCTCGACCTACTGACTTCAGAGATCTGCCCACTTTGGCCTCCCAAAATGCTGGGATTACAGGCGTGAGACACTGCATCCTGAAGTCTTAAAAGCATGTTTTTGTATTATTAATATTCGTTTTTAACATCAATGACAGTGGGATTTTAGCCCATATTTTTCAACTTTATATATTTCTGGGTAACAAGAATTAACACTTGTTAAGTGGCAGGTAGAAGGGGAAGATCCCAGGGGCGGTGGCAATAGGTAACAGGGCCCTGGGATGGGGCAGGAAATGCCCAGGGAGGTGGCAGGTGCAGACACAGATGGGCCAAGGGTGTGGAACAAACCTTGATGTAGTAGACATCCCTGTCATCCAATACCAGCTCCAAGTGACCCATGTGGACGCTCCCGAGAGCCTCCATCTTTCCTGGGTGGGGAGGAGAAATGAGAGTTTAGAGACAAGTGTTCTGAATCTGGATCTGGCCCCTGCATCCCCTTGGGAGGACCGCCTGCTCGTCTTCTCATCTCTGAGCCTAGGGTTCAGAGCCTGTAAAATGGGGCTGGCTTTAGTGCTGATCTCAGGAGGTCATAGACAGACCCACAAGCCAGCTCGCTGCAGGTGCCCGGCCCTGGGTGTGGCACTGAGCGAGGGGTGTGGTGAGCAGGGTGGGGATGTTGTCATTACCGTCCAGCTCGATTTTCTTCCTGGGATGGAGAAGCTTGACCCGGAACTTGCTCTGAGGCAAGCTGTAGCTGACGTCCACCCCGACGTCCCTCGGCACTTCCGACCCGGGCGTGCCCATGAAGATGTGGGCTGTGGCTTCTTGAGGCAACCAGCTGTCCTTCTGGAAACAGCAGAGTCCTCAAGACTGAGCGTTTGCACCTCCACCCTTCAGACATGCACTGTTGTCCTCACAATCTCCCACCAGGAATGTATTGGGCTTGAAAATCACCTGCAGACATTTAAAGCTTTGTACCACAGCCCAGGACCACGTTCACAGCGTCGAAATGTATTCAGCAAATGGCCAGGGAGAAGCAGCTGCAGTGCCCACCCCTGGCACCCGGCACAGACCCCTCCCATCCTTTTTTTCCCGAGACCGAGTCTCGCTCTGTTGCCCAGGCTGGAGTGCAGAAGCACGATCTCGGCTCACTGCAACCTCCGCCACCCCTCCTGAGTAACCAGGATTACAGGCATGCGCCACCAAGCCAAGCTAATTTCTTTTGTTTCATTTTTGTGTATTTTTAGTAGAGATAGGGTTTCACCATGTTGGCCAGGCTGGTCTCAAACTGCTGACCTCATGTGATTCACCCACCTTGGCCTCCCAAAGTGCTGGGATTACAGGCATGAGCCACCGCGCCCAGTCCCTCCCCCTCCTTTTTCCCAGCTCTGTGTCTTTATTCCCCAGCTTCTGCAAGCTCTGCGCCTCCTGGCCGTCACCTGAGGCCTCCAGAACATCGCCCTCCAGCACTGCAGCCAGAGCTCCCAGCACCTCAGCCCAGACGGGAACACACTGTGTAAGGTCCTTGAGCTCCAGGGCTCCCTGTGGGACCAAGCTGAGGCTACAACTTCACCTCAAATTGTACATCTCTCAGCATCTTCCCCTGGCCTGTCCTAATTTATCCTCTCTTACTGGGTCCCCCAGAGCCTTAATAAATCACATATGACCCGGTCTAAGACTTGGGTCTATTTTTGGGAAAATGGAGCCTCAGCCACAAGCTGTGTTCTGAAATCCCACATCGGTGTACGTTCATTCAATACCAATGAGGACGCGCTGCTGCGTGGAAGATGAGTGAGCACAGGACATGCCGAGTCCCCAGCCACACAGAGCCTACGTCCTAGAGAGGAGGCACAGGACCACCAGACACTAGAATGGGTAGGATGGCAGCTGGTGGTGAGTGTGCTGGCAAAGGGGATAGGTTAGGGGCCCCGGTGGGGACACTGGTCTAGACAGGGTGGCCCAGCAAGGCTGCCCCTGAGGGGTCCCATTTAAGGATACTTGAAAGGAGCGAGGGAGGGAGTTAGGTGGATGTCCCGGGAACAGTGTTCCTGGCAGAGAAAACAGCCAGTGCAAAGGCCATGGGGCGGGCATGTGCCTAGCATTGGAAAAGGGGTCAGTGTGTCTTCAGTGCAGTGAGTCTGGAGGCGAGACCGCGAGGGGAGGCCAGCGGGGGAGAGACCACCAAGGGCCTGTGGGCCACAGCATCTGGCTCCTACTCAAAGAGTAACAGGAGCCATGGGGCAGTCTACACAGAGGAGAAGCACGATCCATCTGGGATTTCAGAGGGCGCATCTGGCTGCTGAAGATGGTAAGGAGACCAGAGCAGGAGCTGGGGGATCAGACAGGAGGTCATCAAGTGCGTCCTCTGGACCACGTACTGATGACACAGTGGTAAATAAAACAAACCCTGAGGCTGGGCGTGGTGGCTCACGCCTGTAATCCCAGCACTTTGGGAGGCCGAGGCGGGTGGATCACGAGGTCAAGAGATCGAGACCATCCTGGTCAACATGGTGAAACCCCGTCTCTATTAAACACACAAAAAAATTAGCCAAGCACGGTGGGCGCCTGCAGTCCCAGCTGCTCAGGAGGCTGAGGCAGGAGAATTGCTTGAAGCCGGGAGGCGGAGGTTGCGGTGAGCCGAGATCGTGCCATTGCACTCCAGTCTGGGTAACAAGAGCGAAACTCTGACTCAAAAAAAAAAAAAAAAAAAATCAAAAACCCTGAACTGAGTCACCAGTGAAGAAAACAGACCTTAACCAATCAGCTTCACTAAGAAACAGAAGCGATCAAAGGGATGAAACATGGCTGTCTTAGGTCAAGTCACGAAAAAATGTGATGTGTTCTGGGATAACCAAGGCAGGCTTTGCTGAGGAGGTGACCCCTGAACTGAGATCTGAAGATTGATTCAGAGTTAATGAGCCACACAGCCCCAGCCAGAAAATCAGTCTGTGCAAAGGTCCAGAAGAAACCTACAGCAAGACCAGCGCAGCCCCAGAGAGGAGCCCTACATCCGTTCGGGTGAGCTCAGCACTGACCTGAGGAGACCCACAATCTGGCTAAGAAAGATGGGGCTGTGGCTTAGGGCCCACCTGGGGGTGCAGGGAACAGGCAGCTTCCAGCAGGTACTGTCGGAGCCCCGGGTCCCGCTTCTGTAGCGTCACAGCGGCAAACACAGGCAATGAGAGCAGGTAGGGCTGGCCAGGCACCGGCCAGGTCACTCCAGCGCACAGCTGCCAGCCCCAGGCGTAGGACACTGCAGGGAGAGGTAAGCGGGCAGCAACAGTCAGTGGAGACCCAGATGGCTCCGGGCGTAGGTGCCCACAGCTGCCACGTCAGCAAAGAAAGTGCTTCTGTAATTTTTTCTAAGGAACAGCATCGTGTAGACGTAGATCCTGTGAGGCAGCGGTGAGCAGACCAGAGTTTCTCTACCTCAGCACTGCTGACTTCTGGGGACAGATCATCTCATTTGGGGGGCTGCCCTGTGTGTTATGGGATGTTTCACTGCATTCTAGGCCTCTATCCAGGAGATGCCAGTAACCCCTACCAACAATCAAATATTTCTGCCGATATTACCAAATGTCCCCGGGGTCGGGGGGCGGTAAAAGTGCCCCTGGCTAAGAACCCCTGGTAGACTTTTTTTTTTTTGAGCCTGAGTCTTGCTGTTACCCAGGCTAGAGTGCAATGGCATGATGTCGGCTCACTGCAACCTCCATCTCCTGGGTTCAAGTGATTCTCCTGCCTCAGCCTCCCAAGTATCTGGGATTACAGGTGTGCAACTCCATGACCAGCTAATTTTTGTATTTTTAGTAGAGACAGAGTTTCACCATGTTGGCCAGGCTGGTCTTGAACTCCTGACCTCAGGTGATCCGCCCGCCTCAGCATCCCAACGTGCTGGGATTACAGGCCCGAGCCACCACTCCCGGCCCCTGGTAGACTTTTTAAGAGTGACACGCAGTAATGCGTAGAACACAAGCTCTGGAGCAAGAATGCCTGGTTCAAATTCTAGCTCAGCCACTTCCTAGCTGTGTGACCTTGGACAAATTACTTAACCTCTCTGGGCCTCAATGTTTCTTCTTATTATTATTGTTATTACTCCCTTGACCCACAGTAAGGGCCACAGTGTTTCTCCTCTTAAACTGCTAATGAGAATAGCTCCTGCCTCATGGTGTAGCTGTGAGAATTAGCAGGTCAGTATCTTGAGAACAGTACCGGGCCGACAGTAATGTCTTTGGTACTAACTCTTGCCCCAATTATAAAAATGTGCTTGCTGTCCAGACGTGGTGGCTCACACCAGTAATCCCAGCACTATGGGAGGCTGAGGCGGGTGGATCACCTGAGGTCAGGAGTTTGAGACCAGCCTGGCCAAACTGGCGAAAGCCCATCTCTACTAAAAATACAAAAATTAGCTGGGTGTGGTGGTGGGCACCTGTAATCCCAGCTACTCGGAGGCTGAGGCAGGAGAATCACCGGAAACCAGAAGGCAGAGGCTGCAGTGAGCTGAGATCGCCCCATTGCACTCCAGCCTGGACAAAAGAGCAAAACTTTGTCTCAAAAAAAAAAAAAAAAATTTGTGGGTCAGACGTGGTCACTTACACCTGCAATCCCAACACTGTGGGACGAGGTAGGCAGATTACCTGAGGTCAAGAATTGGAGACCAGCCTTGCCAATATAGTGAAACCCTGTCTCTACTAAAAATACAAAAATTAGCTGTGTGTGGTGGTGTGTGCCTGTAATCCCAGCCACTCAGGAGGCTGACACAGGAGAATCGCTTGAACCTGGGAGGCAGAGGTTGCAGAGAGCCAAGATCGCGCCACTGCACTCCAGCCTGGATGACAAAGCAATACTCCAACTCAAAAAAAAAAAAAAAAAAAGGACAAGTATTTGTTGCAGGAAATTAGAAAACTCAGAATTTTAAAAATTTTTCTGTATTGTATATTATACTTCCATTAGTTTATCTGAAATTCTTAATGCAACTTAAATACAAAAAAAGAAAAATTATCAAGATGCAAAACTTGTTTCTCTTCATTAAATAGAGCCCTCCCCAACCTCACTCCAAAACAAAATTGCAAGATCTGCTACTATGTGACATATTTCCCTCCTGTCTTTTTACCCAGCTGAGGTCACATTCAGTGTTGCTGCCTTTCACTCGGTATTACTGAAGAAGTTTCTCATCCAAACAGCTCACTGATAATGGAGTTTAAAAGTTTCGCGATATCGAAGTCAGGCATGGCAGCTCACGCCTGTAATCGCGCACTCTGAGGGGCTAACGCGGGTGGATCACCTGAGGTCAAGAGTCCAAGACCAGCCTGGCCATTGTAATGAAACCCCATCTCTACTAAAAGTACAAAAATTAGCCGGCCATGGTGGCAGGCGCCTGTAGCCCCAACTACTTGGGAGGCTGAGGCAGAAGAATTGCTTGAACCCAGGAGGCGGAGATTGCAGTGAGCCAAGATCAGACCATTATACTCCAGCCTGGTAACAAGAGTGAAACTTCTGTCTCAAAAAAGAAAAAAAGTTATGCAATATCTCAGTAACTTCCTAACCCACGAGCCAGCAAACATTCTTTGTAAAGGGCCAGATTGTTTGTTTAGTTACCCAGCTAGCTAGCTAGAGACAGAATCCTCCTTGGTGACCCCGGCTTGAGTGCAGTGGCATGACCACAGCTCACTATCACCTCGACCTCCTGGGCTCAAGCGATCCTCCTGCCAGCCTTCCAAGTAGCTGGGACCACTGGTGCATGCCACCATGCCCGGCTAATTTGTTAATTTTTATTTTCGTAGAGACAAGTTCTCATTATGTTACCCAGGCTGGTCTTGAACTCCTGGACTCAAGGAATCCTCTCACCTCGGCCTCCCAAAGTGCAGGGATTACAGGTATGGGCCACCCGCCAGCCAGGTAGTCAATATTTTATGCTTTATGGTCACAGAGTCTAGGCTGCAGCTACTCAGCTCTGCTGTTGGACAAAGTAGCTACAGGTGATATGCAAATGAAGGGGGTGGGGCTGTGTTCCCAAACAACTTTTATTTCCGGACACTGAAATTTCAATTTCCTGAAGTTTTCGTGCTATGAAATATTCATTCTTCTTTTGACTCTTTTTAAGCCACTTAATGTAACAACCTACCCTTAGCTCACTGGTCTTTATAATTGCCCATTTTGCCTACTCCGGAATATTTGAGTTGCTGCCTATTTTTTGTTCTAAATAATGATGCAAAGAACATCTGTGAACACAGATCATTTTTAAGTGATTTTGGTTTGCTTTTAAAGGGTAGAGTTCTAGAAGCATTATCATTGACTAAAGTAGCTGGTAGAGGAAAATAAAGCCAGGCACAGTGGTTCATGCTTGTAGTCTCAGCACTTGGAGAAGCCAAGGCAGGTAGATCACCTGAGCCCAGGATTTCGAGACCAAGCTTGGTAACATGGTCAAAACCTGTCTTTACAAAAAAAAATTAGCTGGGCAGGGTGGCAAGTACCTATAGTCCCAACTACTTGGGAGGCTCAGACGGGAGGATCACTTGAGCCTGGGGAGATGGAGTCCGCACTCTGGTCTGG